CTTCATTAGGATCGTGGCCCCGTGAGGAGCTCCACCGAGGGTGCAAGTGGCAAGGTTCGCATGGCGGTCCCGCTCCATTTCGGCACAACCCTCACGAGGACCGTGGCCTCATAGGGAGCTACACCGAAGGCCCCAGTGGCAAGGATCGCATGGCGGCATCGGGCCATTTCGGCACGCCCCTCACGGGGATCGTGGCCACATAGGGAGCTCCACCGAGGGTGCAAGTGGCAAGGTTCGCATGGCGGCCTCGGGCCATTTCGGCGCACCCCTCACGAGGATCGTGGCCCCATAGGAGCTCCACCGAGGGCGCCAATAGCAAGGTTCACATGGCTGCTTCTGACCATTTCGGCACACCCCTCACGAGGATAGCTCCCATGTGAGCTCCACCGACAGCGACACCCCTCACGAGGATCGTGGCCCCAAAGGAAACTCCACCGAATGCCACAGTGGCAGGGTTCGCACGGCGGCCTCGGGCCATTTCGGCACACCCCTCACAAGGATCGTGGCCCCATGTGAGCTCCACCGAAGGCACCAGTGGCGGTCCCGCCGTATTTCGGCGCACCCCTCACGAGGATCGTGGCCCCGTGGGGAGCTCCACCGAGGGTGCCAGTGGCAGGGTTCGCATGGCGGCCCCGCCCCATTTCGGCGCACCCCTCACACGGATCATGGCACCATAGGAGCTCCACCGAGGGTGCCAGTGGCAAGGTCCGCATGGCGACCCTGCCCCAGTTCGGCGCCCCCCTCACTGGGATCCTGGCCGCATGAGGGCGCCAGTGGTAGGGTTCGTATGGGGGCCCCGCCTCATTTCGGCACACCCCTCACGAGGATCGTGGCCTCATAGGGAGCTCCACAGAAGGCGGCAATTGCAAATTTCGCATGGCGGCCCCGCCCCATTTCGGCACAACCATCACACGGGTCGTGGCCTCGCAGGGAGCTCCACCAAGGGTGCCAGTGGTAAGGTTCGCATGGCGGCCCCACCCCATTTCGGCACACCCCTCACGAGGACCGTGGCCTCATAGGGAGCTCGACAGAAGGCGTCAGTGGCAAGGTTCGCATGGCGGCCTCGGGCCATTTCGGCGCACCCCTCACGAGGATCGTGGCCCCATAGGAGCCCCACCGAAAGCGCCAATAGCAAGGTTCGCATGACTGCTGCTGGCCATTTCGGCACACCCCTCACGAGGATCGTGGCCCCATAGGAGCTCCACCGAACGCGACGTCCCTCACGAGGATCGCGGCCCCAAACGGAAACTCTACCGAATGCCCAAGGGGCAGGGTTCGCACGGCGGCCTCGGGCCATTTCGGCACACCCCTCACGGGGATCGTGGCCACATAGGGAGCTCCACCGAAGGCGCCAGTGGCGGCCCCGCCCCATTTCGGCGCACCTCTCACGAGGATCGTGGCAGGGTTCGCATAGCGGCCCCGTCCCCATTTCGGCGCACCCTTCACGAGGATCGTGGCCCCGTGGGGAGCTCCACCGAGGGTGCCAGTGCCAAGGTTCGCATGGCGGCCCCGCCCCATTTCGGCACACCCCTCACGGGGATCCTGGCCTCATAGGGAGCTCCACCGAGGGTGCCAGTGGTAAGGTTCGCATGGCGGCCCCACCCCATTTCGGCACACCCATCCATGGGATCGTGGCCTCATAGGGAGCTCCACTGAGGGCGCCAATGGCAAGGTTCGCATGGCAACCCCGCACCATTTCGGCACACCCCTCACACGGGTCGTGGCCTCATAGGGAGCTCCACCGAGGGCCTCATAGAACGATGGACCCATAATGCTGTATCCACAACTGCGTATGATTGGGTCCTTCGTCAGGCTATGTTGCTTAAGTTGTCTAGGTTGATGGAAGCGGGCGCTGACGCCTCCTCCTCCTCCTCCTCCTCCTCCTCCTCCTCCTCCTCCTCCGTTCGCACCTCGAAAGTACGCTGAAGGTACGCTGAAGGTACGCTGATGGTACGCTTGACCCACACCGTGAATGCAAGCTGCAGGTACGATGTAGGCACGCGCTGAGAAAGGAAACGATACGAAACCAAGAGTGTAGGTACGCGAATGCACGCTGAAGGTACGCTAGACTCACACATTGAAGGTACGCTGTAGGTACGCTGTAGGTACGAGCTTATAAAAGAAACCAATACGAACGCAATGATGTAGGTACGCTTTATGTACGCTCTAGACACGCTGAAGGTACGCTGGACTCACACCTTGAAGGTACGCTGTATGTATGCTGTAGGCACGCTGAAGGTACGCTCCTATAAAGGAAAACAAACAGAAGGCATACTGAAGAAACGCGAACGTACCCTGAAAGCACGCTGACAATACGCTAAACTCACACCTTGAAAATACGCTGCCAGAACGCAGAAGATACGCACTTCAAACGGAAACTGGCCTGGCAATTGTCAATATCGCAATTTTGAATATTGTCTTCGGTGGAACGCCCTATGGGGCCACGAACCGTGTGATCGGTGTGCCGAAATGGGGCGGGGCCGCCATACGTACCCCACCACTGGCGCCATCGGTGGAGCTCCCTGTGGGGCCAGGATCCCCGTGAGGGGTGCGCCGAAATGGGGCGGGGCCGCTATGCGAACCCTGCCTCTGGCACCCTCGGTGGAGCTCCCCACGGGGCCACGATCCTCGTGAGGGGTGCGCCGAAATGGGGACGGGGCCGCTATGCGAACCCTGCCTCTGGCACCCTCGGTGGAGCTCCCCACGGGGCCACGAACCTCGTGAGGGGTGCGCCGAACTGGGGCGGGGCCGCCATGCGAACCCTGCCACTGGCGCCTCCCTATGGGGCCACGGTCCTAGTGAGGGGTGTGCCGAAATAGCCCGAGGCCGCCATGCGAACCCTGCCACTGGCACCCTTGGTGGAGCTCCATATGGGGCCACGATCCTCTTGAGGGGTGTGCCCAAACTGGCCCGAGGCCGCCATGCGAACCCCGCTGCGGGCGCCTTCGGTGGAGCTCCCTATGGGGCCACGATCCTCGTGAGGAGTGTGCCGAAATGGCTGCCGCTGGGGCCTTCGGTGGAGCTCCTATGGGGCCACGATGCTCCTGAGGGGTGTGCCGAAATGGCCCGAGGCCGCCACGCATGGTGATGACGCTGATGATGTTGATGATGATGATGATGATGCTGCTGCTGATGATGCTGATGATGATGATAATGATGCTGATAATGATGATATGATGATGATGATGATGATGATGATGCTGCTGCTGCTGCTGCTGCTGCTGCTGCTGCTGATGATGATGATGATGATGATGATGATGATGATGATGATGATGATGATGATGATGATGATGATGATGATGATGATACTGATGATGATGATGATGATAATGATGATGATGGTGACGATGATGCTGGTGACGATGGTGATGCTTATGGGAGGAGGAGGAAGGGGACAGCGGGAGGAGGAGGAATGAACGCGGGGCGCTGTCTCTTCAAAACGAGGACTCAATACCACAGGATGGTCGGGGAACGGATAATCAACCCGTTTTGAAGGTACGCGAAGGTACGCTGAAAATACGTTGGACTCACCCCTTGAAGGTACGCTGAAGGTAAGCTCTTGTACAGGACAACAATTAACCTGACGAAGGACATAATGGCAGTAGCTATAGTAGCAGTGGTAATAAGATTGCGTGCCAGAGGGTTCGCGTTTAAAAAGGAGAAGGCGGCGGAGGAGGAGGAGGAGGCGGAGGAGGAGGAGGGGGGGGGCAGCAGGAGGAGGAGGAGGAGGCTGTGCTGAAAATGGCATCGCGTTCACACGTTATCTTACGCTTATCATAAGTCAACAAAAGTTCAACATACGTTTCACAAGTTAGCCTAATTTACCGTGGGTGAACATAAGTTACATGTAACAGCATGCGCATCTACATTGACTTGGTGGGCACTTGTATAAGCTGTTGCAGACGTCGGGCAAGACTTATAAATTGCTGACCACTTTAGTTTACGTGCATGTAATTGCTACACGGTTACGGGTGTTATATCATTGATCACTCATGTTATGTCATTGGTCGCGCAATTTCAAATACTAGTATAAGCCAAGACTGAAACCCGTAAAGTGGGCGGCTGATGGCACCTGCGCCCAATGGAACATCACGCCTCCAATGCAAAACGAGATGCCGAGACATCACGCGCTGGAAGGACCATCGTGGTAAAGCCCAGCGAGCAACGGCACACCAGTGCCAGTCAGATAGACCGACTGATGATGACGGTGGACACGAAAGTACCCCGACGTATGTGTAGAATATATCCATAAATCTATATACACAAATACATATAGACCTGCAACTAACTGTTAGTCAGCATTCACCCAAACCACTATGTTTTTAGCCATACACGCGGTGCAATGTATGCTGTACAATGTATGTGATGCACTCTAGGTTGTGCATCATATGTGGTGAAACCTATGCTGCGCAATCGATGTGATGCAACATATGTTGTGCAATGCATATTGTACAACGTATGTTGTAGCATGTATGGTGTGCAGCTTATGGTGTGCAATATGTGTGGTGCAGTCTAAGTGGTGCAAGCAGTGTGGTGCAATACGTGTGATCCCGTCTATGTGATGCAAAAAATGCGCGGTGCAATCTATGAAGGACAGTACAGATTGTGCAATACATGTTGTGCAAGTTTATGTGGTACAATCTATGTTGTGCATTACACGTGACGCAATCTATGTTGTGCAGTCTATGTGATGCATTATGATGGCGGCGACGAAGCGGCGACGGGGCGGCGACGGCGTCCACACAGCCGCCAGATCGAAGACACGGCCCAAACGACGGGCGGCGACGAGGCGGAACCGGGCTGCGACGGCCCCGGCGGCCACATAGCCGCAAGACCGAAGACATGGCCCGGTTCCTCAGAGAAGAAGTAAGAGGCCCTGGGTGCAAGCACTGTGTGGAGAAGCTGCGCGCATATCTACATCGATATGTATATGTCTATATATACGTACATGTATCGAACGAGCCCTAGACTGCCCCATCCGCACACAGCCGCGCGTTGACCTAGTTCCCCGATCTTCGCAGATCGGTCGACGTAGGGCTTACGCCTCCCTGGCCAATGACCTTCCAGCTCAGCGACTGCGTGTCAGGAACGCCAGAGATGGTCTGCTCGGCGGGGGGCAGGTGTGGCTCCTCAGGGGGGGACTCCACGCAACCAGCCTTCAAGCAACGCGCGACGCGCGGCTTGACCATCCCTCCGCGAGCAGGGTGACGATCAAGCGAAGGTATGCTGACCTGTTTGGTCCCTCGACTACACCCACTTGGCGTCCCATCATCCCTCCCATTACGCCCCCACTCTCCCCCGTCCCCGCCCCCGCCCCCCTCCCCCATTCCCCGTCCCCCTCCTTCCCCAAGGACATGGGACGACGAAGCCTCTCAATGAGTAAACTTGCAAGTCAAGCCTGACTCCCAGGCCGCCAGGAGATCATCCACAATGCCCTAGGACAAGAGCTCCGAGTCTCACCCGAGGAAGGGGAAGAGGAGAAAGAGGAGGAGAAGGAGGAAGAGGAGGGGAGAAAAGCGACGACGACGACGACGGCGACGAGGAAGACGACGAGAACGATGGCGTAGACAAGGTGGGTGGTGCCGTGCCCCTCCCCTGGATGTACTTTCCACAGCCGCGCGTACAGCTCTGGGTATATGAATGCCTGTGCTGCTGGTGTCAAACGAGCAAAAGGCAACTGGAAAGAGAGAAGCCTCTCCTTTTGTTTCACCCTCGCTTCTCCAGCCCCCTCCCGTACACTCCTCCATTCCCCTCCCCTTCTGCCCCTTCCCGACTCAGATCCCAAGCCCAATCCCTTCTCTCCCTCTCCTCCCCCCGCCCTCCCAGAGAGAGAAAGAGAGAGAGGGGGGGAGTAAGGGAGGGAGCTAGGGAGAAGAGAGAGAGAGAGAACGAGAGAGAGAGAGAGAAAGTAAGAGAGAGAGAGAGAGAGAGAGAGAGAGCGAAAGAGATACAAGAGTGGGGGGAGACAGAAAGAGAGAGAGAGAGAGAGACGGAGACATTGAGAGGTGGAGAGACGCATGTTGTGTTTTGCTATATACACGTAATCCGCCGACCTTTCGGCGTGCGTGAGACGCTGTCGTCGTCGTCGTCGTCGTTGTTGTCGTCGTCGCTAGTCCCAAGGAAATTAAGGAACGAACAAAAAAAAAGAAGCTCGTAATCAAATCGATTCCCTTCCCGTTTCCCCCTCTCCTGACAGGGAGTGTACGGGGGGGGGTACAGGGACGGAGGTTGGGGAGTGAGATCGCAGTGGAACGGAGAGATCCCACCAGGAAATCGGTGTCGGATTCGTATTCGTGTCGTGTGTGCAGGCGAGGCGAAGCTGCGTGGGTGCGCGAGAGGAATGACCCCGCCGTCGCTAGGGCGATTCGGATGCAATGGACCGCCCCTCCGCACCCAGTGGGCGCGCGGTGGCTTGGGGTGTCCCGCCGTGGTGTCCCGTTGGTATCCCGTCGGTGTTCCGTCAGCGGTGGGCGGGCGGTGGCCAGGGGTGTCCCGCCTTGGTATCGATAGTGAAGTCAATAGTGAGATCGATCATGAGATTGCTAAAATGGGATGGATAGCCAGATCAAAACTGTGATCGACAGTGAGGTCGATTGTGACATTGACTGCGAGATCGATCGTGATATCGAAAGTGAGATCGATAAAGGAATCGATAGTGAGATCGATGGTGAGATCGGAAGCGACATCGATAGCGAGAAAAACAGTGGCATTACATCGCAGCACAAAATCGTCATCACGCGTCGTCGCTAACTCGAGAGCGCGTCACCAGCATCGTCATCATCACACCCATATCATTTGCGAGCAGCTGGTTCTTTCCCCCCCGAACCTCCGTATCACCCGAAGGGTGGTCGTAGGTAGACTACCGCACCCCTCCCGGCGTCCCTGCGGGTCCCAAGGGGGCCCCCTCGGGTCGCCAGCGGAGGTCCTGAGGGAGGTAGGTGCGCCCCTGTGGGAGGGGGGGGGGTCCAGGTCAGACTACCCTCCCCCACCCACCCCGGGTGTCGGCGGGCCCAGGGGGGGGCCGCTGGCGGGGGCCCTGGGGAAAAAAATCCCGTCTGTGGGTGGGGGGATGGTTCCGGGCCAGAATTGCCCCCCCCCATCTGGTGTCCTGGCGGGTCCGGGGGGGAGACGACAGCTGGGGTCCTGATTCCCGGAGGGAGTGGCCAGCGGGGGTCCTGGAGGTCCCGCCTGTGGTGGGGGGCGACCCGGGTCCTGGGATAGAACACCGCCCCCCCGTCCGGGTCCCAGTCCCCAGGGGAGTCGCCAGCGGGGATGCCAGGAGAGGTCCCGCCTGTGGAGTGGGGAAGGGTCCCGGGTTAGTCCCGGGTTATGGGAACCTCTAGACCGCTATACTAAAAAAGGATCAGCAAGGACTAAGAAGCACGATATACATATATACATATATATATACCTGTGTATATACACACACCTACATATGTACATATATGTGTGTGTGTGTGTATGACAGCAAATGTGTGTAAACCTATAGAACAATATACTGAGACAAGATCGGCAAGGATTAAGAGACAAAGAGATGGAGAGGCAAACAGAGACAGACAGACAAACAGACAGACAGACAGACAGACAGACAGACACACTGACTGACTGACGGACTGACTGACACACTGACTGACACAAAAACATACACATAGACGGGGGGAGACAGAAACAGAGACAGAGACAGACACGGGTACGGAGAGGGAGGGAGAGTCGGAGGTAATGGGTCGAGAGGGAGAGAGTGGTGAAAGCAGGATGGCAGGGCGGTGACGTCTGCGGGGGGTGGCGAGGCGCGAGTTCGTGTGTGTAGGGGGGGCAACGGGCGAATGTGGGAGACAGCGACAAAAGTGAGAGGGCAAGAAAAAGTGGGGGGACGCGGGGCAAGACGGGATGCAGCGGCGAGTCCTTGTAGTGCAGGTCGCCCAACGCCCGGGAGAGGTTGAGGTTGCCGTTCACACGGTAACCCGTTCCACCTCCTCGGAGGAAGGAGGAGCAGATCGCTTGCGGCTCCGTGCCCACCATTGGGCGCGTGAGGCGAGGAAGAGGAGGAGGAGGAGGAGGGGGAGGAGGAGGAGGAGGAGGAGGAGGAGGAGGAGGAGGAGGAAGGGGAGGAGTGCTAAAGCGGAAAGAGGCAGGGCGTCGTACCCCACTGTGAGGCGGGAAAGGCGGCGGACGCTCGCGCAGGTCAGAAGGGCAGCGTGAGAGAGCGGCAGGGTGGGTGCAGACAAGACAGACGAACGCCGAAGAATGTGGCACGACGCAGGGCGCCGAGCAAGGGCGCGATGGGGATGCAGGGTCCCAAAACGGTGAAGCGACGGACCGTGCGGTGACCTCGGAAACCCCAAAGACCTCACGGCACTGGGACCTGGAGCATGGAGGCCCCAGTCGCCCGAGACGTCCTCGGAGAACGGCCCAAGTCCCCAAACCGTGGGGCCATCCCGACTCCCCACTGACCCACCACACGGTGTGGTCACCACCCTGTTTGGAGGACGCCGCGGGGAGGAAGGCAGCAAGCTGGGTGGGCAAGAGGGGGGCCCGGAGAGGCATCCCTGAGGGAACCAGGACACAGACAGGCAAGGGGCAAGGGGCACTGGACAGCAGAGGCTCGCGGCGGCGGAAGCAGACGGCGCGGGGATTCTGGGCGCGGACAGCACACGCCTGGGCGGACAGCGAAGAAGTGCCAACCCCGGGCTCTCCTGGAACAGTCTCCTCCTCGACGTAGCTGCCGGCGGCCTCTATGCGCGCGGTCTCCCGCGGCAGGTTGGGCTTGTGGTCCTCCGTCAGTGCGACGGCAAGTCCTGGGCGCTCGGGGCGCTCAGGCCGAGCGAAGCGGCCGTGAGGACTGCCAGTGTGAGGGGGAGACGTTCGGGCGAACGTTGTTTGAGACGGAGCCAGGTCGAGGACAACATCGGGTGGATCAATCCAGAATCTCTGAGATCCAGCGGCTGGAGGATGTCTCGGGCGCAGCGGCTTTCTCAGAGCGTTCTGGAACGCTCTGGAACGGACTTGGCCTCGTCCTGGCCCCGTCCGATTGTCAACGCAGACGTCAAAGGGGGAACCATCGAGCCCGAATCGGCGACGGAGGTGCTGGCGGGGAGGCTCCAAAGTTTTCGAGGGCGTCCAAAGAGGGGGGGCGTCCAAGAGACGGGTTCGCGAATCGTGGGCCGCAGCACGTGCACGGACGAGGGGGGGCCCAGCGGACGTATTGAAAGAAGCAGGGGGGAGGCACGAAATCTGGGGAGATATCACGGCCCCGCCATGATGTCCCCCCCCCCAGTCCCAGCCACTACCCCCTCTTGGCCGCCCGCCGAGCCACCAGGGGCCCCGAGCGGGCGCGGCCGTCAGACGCGAGGCCCTCCGCCCAGCCCGAAGACACGAGTGGCAGGAGGACGGGGGGAGAAGCAGGCAGGGGCATGGGCAGCCTCCTCCCTCTCCTCCTCCTCCTCCTCCTCCTCCTCCTCCTCCTCCTCCTCCCTCCTCCTCCTCCTCCCTCCTCCTCCTCCTCCTCCTCCTCCTCCTCCTCTCCTCCTCCTCCTCCTCCTCCTCCTCCTCCTCCTCCTCCTCCTCCTCCTCCTCCTCCTTTCCGCTTTCTGCTCCTCTGATGGTGGCCCCGATGGAACCACTGCAATCCACATAGCCTCCACGGAACGCCGGGCGAAGGGGCGGTCGCGGTGCCTCAGGCAGCCAACCAAACTCCGCTACTCCGAGTCCTCCCAGCAAATCTCCCGTCTTTCGACCAACACCTCACAGAACCCCTTAGCCCAGCCGACACGGCGAGGGGACAGAGGGGGCACCGCGGGGCCAGTCCGAGGAATGGGCAGCTTGGAGGTGGGTCCTTAGCTCCTTAAGGTCGGCCAGCGGTGGGGTGTTTCAAACAGGGTTCTGCCAAGGCCGGGATATGTCTCCTAGCACACGCGCCGCACGAGCTGTATCAGACCAACCCTTCGGTCCCCCCCGACCACCAGAGCCTGCGAGACCAATGGGCCTGAGCCAGCTGGGAGGACACCCCAGGGCACCTATCCTGGACAAAACGGGCCCTGGTCTTACTGTAAAGGCCACAGCCCAAACAGCACCAGCGGCCGCGGGATCCGACACGAACTCGAGCGGGTCGAACACACGACGACGGCGAGGCATCGGGAACGGAGGCGGCCGCAAGATGCTCACCGATTCTTCCTGAATGCAGCGCGACGAAGTAGGCCGATCACAACAGCAGCGGCCGTTGCTCCTCAACTTCCTCCGAAGCAGGATGCATCCTCGCGCATCTCTTCGCAAAATTATCTGCCAATTTGTTTGCACGAGAGTGCAAACACTGGATCCTTTGGGCCTGAGCCTCCCGCCAGGAGGCATGAGAGCGAATCCACCGCAACTCCACTTGGTCAAGGCCGATCTCTTCAAGCTGAAAACCAAATCTTACACCAAATCTCGGAATCAACCTTCGAGGGGCGACATCTCACTTCTCGCCCCGCCGCCACTCCCTCAACACGACTCATGCAGGCTGTGATGACAACCGGCGCACCGACGCAATTGCACAATCACATGTAGAAGGCCCACAACTCAGCGGCCCCGATCGCTTGCAGTGCACATGGCAATGGGCCGAAGATGGCCCCATCGGAATTGCCATCGGTCTTCACACACGCCCAGACAGCGCGAGACGCATGCGAGAAACTGGAGTTCATTCAAGACCCGTCTATCCCCACCAGGCCAGCCAGCGCTCTCCCTGCGATGGGCCCGTCCGTGCCGATGACACCGTCGAAGCAAGGAGGTGGCTGGCGCTCGAGGAGGGAGTCCACGAGGCAACGGTGGAGGAGAAGGTCCTGAATCCCCTGGTGCAGACATTATTTTCCCGCACGTGTGACGTCATCGAAGTCCAGGTTACGTCTGCCGCACGGAAATCACATGCAAACAAACGATGCCCTGTCCTGCCTGGCTCGGCCTCGCAAGCCTGGCACAACGGGGTGTCGGCAGATAGGGCCTCGAAGAGACGCGCCTGCGTCCGAAGCCCTCCTGAAACGTGAGTCCCAAGGAACTGTGCCGCCGTCTTGAAGTTTTCTCGTCGAAGCTGCTGTTGGGCCTTGCGGATGAGCACCAAAAGCGGGGGTCCCCCAAAATTCTCCAGACCCCGGGATCCTGGCAAAGTTTGCAGGAGCGCATGTTCCCAACCGATATCAGCGATCTTACGCAAGGACCCTGGGTGGACCTCAGACAGCTCGCCCACAACCCGCCCACCCGTCTCCCACCTCGAATAGCTCTGCGGCGTCCAACCTAGGCGCTTCAAGGTGGCCAAGACGGCCGAGCAAGGCCCTCGGACCATGCCTGGCGACGTACCCAACCCCTGCTCAATGCGGGGCACGAGTAGTTTGGGAGACGTTATACGGAAGTGATGACGTGACATGGGCGCATATACTCCTGCGAACGGCATTCGTGAGGCTCGCAGCCCCCCACACAGATCTGCCTGATGCCTCGCTCCGCTGAACCCGCCACCAGCCTTCGAAAGTTGCGACGGCCCCCCAAGGACGGCGAGGCCCCGCTCAGATCTGCGCGGTGCCTCACTCCGCTGGACCCACGTGCAGCCCTCGAAAGTGGGGACAATTTCGCAGATCGCAGCCCCCCAGGCACGGCGAGGTCCCGCTCAGATCTGCGCGGTGCATCACTCCGCAGGACCCACCAACAGCCCTCGAAAGTGGCGACAACTTCGCAGATCGCAGCCACTCAAGGACGGCAAGGTCCCGCTCAGATCTGCGCGGTGCCTCGCTCCGCTGGACCCACCAGCAGCCCTCGAACGTGGCGACAGTTTCGCGGATCGCAGCCCCCCAGGGACGGCGAGGTCCCTCTCAGATCTGCGCACTGCCTCACTCCGCTGGACCCGCCAGCAACCTTCGAAAGTGGCGACAGTTCCGCAGATCGCGATGCTGGCCCCCGAAGCCCCCCTTCCAGCTCCTCCTTCAGCCGCGCATAATCGTCTCCCATCGCCTCCCGTCCCTCCAGTGTGTCCTCCCTGGCCCTCTTCGCTCATGGGTTGATCTCCTCCCCGCCGCTCCTCAAGTCCGGGCCCTCGATCGTGGGATTTGGCTCGAAAGGGCACTGACCGAAGACCGCTGTGAGTTCCTGATCGCGGTGATGGGGTCGAGACGCAATCCTCTGGAGTCGTCTCAATCTTCGGACTCGAGCTTCAAGTTTCGCGGGCGCCATCCTCCAGTAGCGCAACACATCTTCCGTAGTCACGTTTTCGTGGTTTGCCTCTCCCGTCTCTGTAGTGATCTCGATTCTGCGAGCTGCTCCTCGCATGGCCCTGCGGGCGAGTCTGGCCGGCCCGTCCAACTCGCGCCAGTTGGCCTCGGCGGGGCAAAAGGCCTCGTTCCCCGACAGGGCTGCACTCTGCACGCAGCAAATTGACCACCGCACGTCTGACTTTCCAGGGGGTGCGCTTCAGATTCCAAAAACGGCAAAGGGCGAAAAAACATGTTCGCCTGCCTTGCGTTCCTTGTTTAGCTCCTCCCCAGAATTGCCGCTCATATTGATATAAGCCCCTAGATATCCGGCGCAAGGCCTGAATGCCGCTAGCAGGCTGACTCCCCCCGAGCGGAGGCTCCGCGCATAGTTTGTCGAGCCGCGCCCAGCGAAGGCGGGGGGGGCCTCCTGCTCCTCGCGATTCTGCCGACAGCCTATCGTCTCCAGAGCGTTGTCCACGGCACTGTTTTCGAGGGAACTACGTTGGGCTAGAGACACCAGAGTCTCAGTCTCTTCAGCCACCAAAGCGTTTAAACGATCGTCTGCATACTGGCACATCGAGAGGTCCACGTCTCGGCCAGTAAAAGGGCTCTCCGTGATACAGTTGCCAACATGACTACCTGACTGCACCGCGCCACGCTGCCGCACATTTACCCCGCTCTGGAAGGCAAGAAGGAGCAAGCGCACAACGTACGGGCCACCCATGAACGCGCCACGCCCGATCCGATACGTGGTCTCGCCTTCCTCGCTGGGTAGCTGCACTACTGTCTCGCGGCATCTCTGCCCGCCTAGGCATTGCAGCTTTTCGCCCATGAGTTCACGCTGGGCATCGTCGAATTCCAGCCAAGAGACACTGCCGAAAGCATTGCTCAAATCGTGCAAGTGTGCGACACTCGTGCGCCCTTGCTTGCGCGCGCGCCGCATCGTGCACTGCGCGGCTGCGATGGCCGCCCCCTTCGAGAGGCCTTGCATAAATCCGTGCACCTGCGCCGGCATGCTCGGCGCACTGCTCTGAACAGCGCGCCATCCCTTGCCGAGAGGCGCCAAAAGATGAATTATTCGGGTTCCCTTGGCTGCGCCTCCTAGAGAACGGGCTGCCACCTTCTTGGGCAGCGCAGCGCCTTTGCTCAGATGCTAGCAGCTCGGGGTCCTACCACTTTGCCGAATCTCATGAAGGCCGCCCTCCAGGGCAGCTCGAAAAAGCGGGGCGCTCAGAGGTTCCTCAGGGGGAGTCCTGCGGGCCCTTTCAGTGGGTGTGCTTCGGGGTTCGGGTTCGTCAATATGGCTAGGAGCTCTAATGGGGCGGCCCATGGCGGTTGTGCCCTCCTTTTTGAGGCCCTCCTGATCCATCGCTCCAGCCTTCGAAGGTCTCGTAAAGCGTCTCGACGATGTGATTTATCCAGCACCGCAGGCTCGTGCGCTCCTGTCTGTAGCGTCGTTCGCCAGTCATTCCAGTCCTGCGCTAGGAGTTGCCGCCGCGTCGCCGTCAGGTCCAGAACGTTGTCAAACATCTGTCCATTGTGTCGTGGTAAGATCCGTCGCTATTACTGAAAGGTAATGTCGTCTCTTCACACCGTATTCTGTGTTTGCCGCCCGTCTCACCAATCGATACATTTCCACCATCTTTCTGATTCGCCAACTGTCCCACACTTGTTCCAGCAGTTCGTCCTGGCAGCGTTTCCATTCCAGTCCCCTTTCCTGTCGCATGTAGGGTGGGAGCTTCTTTAGTATGTCGATCACCACCTGCTCCTCTGTCTGAGATTGTTCATCATGGCGTAGCCTATAGTCCCTTCGGGCCTTGAGCAGTAACCTGCGCCGTTCTCGTAGCGCGTTGCATCGCTCATCTCGGTCAAGTCCTTTTGAGAAAAACGGTTGTCCCACTTGAATCAGCATACCTTCGAGCTTTCCGACAAGATAGTCTGGCGAGGCGCGGTTCGCACACTCCAGCAGTTCCCCAGTTGTGCTCCACCGTTAGCTCCATTTCTTCAATGAAATTGTTTGTCGTTTCCTGATCTCGCCCCGCGCAGGCTCGCATCATCATTTCGGCATGCCACGTGGGCGCATGTTCTTTTTGTCGTTGTTCTGAGATTATGGGTACACTCAGGTAGACAGGAACAGGCAAAGGATATCTGTTTGATGTGCTCGGTATCTGTTGCAATGCCCCTCCCAGTCCCGCCAACGGCCCACAACTGAGCTCCCACCTGCTCATAGACTGTGGCACACACACACATAATCCACCAAAGAACTGTTGTCGCAATTTCCATACCATGTGTCGTCCGCCTTTCGCGTCGTCGTCGCCACCATCGCGTGTCCCTCCTGTATCTCCCTGAAGCGTCGCCCTGCGTAATGTTCCTTTTCTAGCCCCAGGCTGGTATACTGCATCCGTGCCCACGTAGCGAAATCCCTTCCCGCTGTCGGTCAATATCAACCCTAGTCCATCGTTGAGGTCAACGGAGATGATGGGCACGCTTTGGCAGGGGGTCTGCTGTAGTACCTCTTGAAACCAATCCATCATAGTACCCACACATCTGTCATAAAGTTTACGCCCCTGTGTCGTAGTTGGGCGGGGTGGTATGTACATGCCCACAAAGGTATCGTCGAACTGTCGCGATGCCAATCTCGCTGCCAATCCCCGCCTTTGACATTGCTCTGGGGCCGCCGTCACTCGTCGTACGCGGCGTGGCCGTAGCTTGCGTCCAAAACTGAACAAAATCCCCGCCGATTTGTTGGTCATCGATGCTCGTGTCCATTCACTCTCCAGTCTCCAGCGTTTCCCCCCGCTTTGTTGCTGAAGAGGCGCGTCGATTCTGCGCTGGGTGCCCGTGAGGCTGACAAAATCGAAGGACTCGCAGGCGTGGCCGATGTCTTCCAACCTCTCCGTGGTGCGGGCCGTGAGCGGATCGAAGTGTAAGAATATCCATATCGTGCTCCTTCGGGCCACTGTCTGCTCTGGTCCGCTGCCCGCTGCTCCCGCTGTGATCGCCCCCACTAAGGCGGTTCTCATCTCTTCCAGCACTGGTGGCCACCCACAGCCCGCGTCTCACGGACGGGCAGGTGAGTGGGGCGTGCCACCTAGGCACATCGCTCGCCGTTGTTATGGAGTCCTGGCCTCAATGGTGCGAGATTAAGTGCGTGTGTCTGAGGTATCATAAACGGCTGTACATATATACATATATATATAGAGAGAGAGAGAGAAAGAGAGAGAGAGAGAGAGAGATGCACTGAGACTGAGCGAGAAGAATGCCCGGGAGGGGGGGGGTGCACAACGAACCCGAGCCTCAACCAGGGGGGCGGCGCAGAAACGACCAGCCCCGGGAGGCGGCCGCGAGGGGGGGCGCGTCCCTGCCGGCACAGGACCGCCCGCGAGTCGCCGACGTTGGCTACTGTGATCTTGCCCTCCGTTGGCGTGGCGCCGACCTCGAGCACGCAGCAGACCTCCCGCTGGGGAGGGGGTTGGAAAAAGGGAGGGGAGGGGAGGGGAAGGGGGGAGGAAACGAGCAAGGACGAGGGAAGGGAAGGGAGGGGGAGGCGAGCTGGGCCGAAGGGAAGCTGGAAAGCTGCGGAGAACAGACCGAAAAACGCATCAAGACCTCGAAAACGCTCTTTTCTCCGCGCCTAATGTATTGTTCCTGAGAAGGGCGGGGGAGGACGGAAGACGGAGGACGAGGAGGAGGAGGAGGGAAAAGGAAGAGGAGGAGGGAAAAGGAAGAGGATGAGGATGAGGAGGGAAAACGAGGAGGCGCCGACCTTCCCCAACGTTACCCATAATCGCCCCATCCCCACCCGCCCCAAGCCCCTCCCGGCACCCCGCCCAAAACGGGGCGGGGGGGGGGGGCGGTGGAAAGGGATGGAGAAGAGAGGGGGAAGAGAGAGAGACAGAGACAGAGAGAGAGAGACAGAGCGAGACAGAGAGAGAAGGGCGCAATCAGAAAGCTGTGCCCCCCCCCCCCCCCCAGCACGGGGGGGCGCCGTCGCGCGCTTTGGAGCCGCCCCTGGGGGGGACCGCCGTGGTGCCAGTGAACTCGGCGGAATCGCGCACCTCCCGGGCGGCAACCACCAGTGGGAGGTAGAGGGGGGGGGAGGAAGAGGAAGGAGGCCTTTTTTTCACTCGGCAAGAAACGCCCAGTGCCACTGGGACGGATGAGGCGCAGGTAAGGCGAGCTGTCGCAGGACAGCCGCTGTCCCATACTCGGATCCACCGCGCAGGCCTGGGGCGAGCGCCACCCGCGCATCAACGCGGGGAGCTGCAGAGGCAGGCCTCGGTAACTGGTCACTTCACGAAAGCTGCGTCGCATTCACTCCGTGCGTCCGCGCAACGAGGCAAAGCCTAGCAGAACTGGAGCTATTCGCCCAGGGACCAGCTGACACCTGGGCCGAAAAGATGCCGCCACGGAGCCGCGCCGTGGCCCGCTCGGGAGAAACAAATCTGAAATTGTTGTCAGGCAGCTTCGCTGCCCGCGGCGCCCCCCAAGGAGCTATTCGCCCGCGAGAGTAACTCACGAGTGAGAGGGCGGTGCAATGTGCTGACCCCGCTAGCTGAAGAGGTATGCCGCCGCCTCTCCACGTGCATCAGGACTTTGCTCGTGCGCAGGTTCGCGCGCAGGGAGGCGGGGGACGAGACAGGGCGAGGGGTTCGCTGCACCGCGCTACCCGCGGTCTCCCCACGTCGGCACGGCACATTCAGCTCCTCTGTAGCACGTCCAGCCAGGTCGCGACCTCGCCCTCTAGCCAGCCCGCTGGCACCACGCCAGCGAACCTCGTCGCGCGGCCCTCCGCCCTGAAGGCGTGGGCCACCGTGCCGCGGAGCGGCCAGAGGGGGGCCGCGACGAGGGGCTCGGCCTTGCTCTCGTCGCGGGGCTGCTCGATCTTGATGGCCTGCGCGTCCAGTTCCAGCTGTTCGCGACTCGCGCTCGGCTCGCCCGACACTGGCTCGACCTTGTCGAGGTAGTCGCTGAGCTGCTGGCGCATCTGGCCGCCCGCGTCGCAGGTGGACAGCGTCTCCTCCAGTGTGACCGCCGAGGAGGCGGTCGGGCTGCCAACCGCGCGAAGCGGATCTGATCCTGCCTCTCTTGCTGTCTGTACTTGCTTTCTGTAGTCGCCCAGCGCCTGCTGGAGCTTGATGATAACTGAATGATCTTTCCTCCTCCTCCTGCTCGTGTACCTCCTCCTCCTCCTCCTCCTCCTCCTCCTCCTCCCCTCCTCCTCCTCTTCCTCCTCGTCCTCCTCCTCCACTTCCTCCTCCCCGTCCAAATTTACAGAGTCCCACTTTTCGGATTACAAATCGCACGATGGGGTCAATTGGAGGATCGAAATCATCTGGGACACCCGTCGACGGATAAGGAAAGAAACAACGCTGTGGGAAAGGATGGATGAAAACGTACCGTGTCAGGTATCGCGCTCGCACTCGTGCCAAGGTTCCTCGCTGTCCTCCCCCCTCCCGTCCCCCCTCTCCTCTCCTCGGTAGGGGAGGGGAGAGGCGCGCGGCTGGTGCACGGGGCAACGAGAGGGGGGGGGCTAGCTCGGGGGGACTAGAAACATCGATGTGGAATCGCGATCCGAAAGAGAATCCGCACGTTCATGGGCAAGGAGGGGCTATCTGGCCCCTCATCGGCAATCAATGGCTGATTGGGGGTCGACGAATCCCCCCCTGAGCCGATCCCTCCTGGCTTTCGGGTCTCGCTGCTCTCCGGCGGCCGTTCAGGACTTTTCGGGTTTCGGGCACCCTGGGAGCACCCTTGGCGAAGCGGAGCTGCTGGAGAGCAACCCGAAAGCAGAAAAGCCGCCGAGAACCAAAGAAAACGCATGAAAACAATCGAAAACGTCCCCCACTGGCCCACTCAGCCTGCCGTTACCACTGAGGCTACCGTGGCCCCTGAGCATGACACTGCCCATGAGTCCCCCCTGAGCAGAGGTCTCCAAACGTTGCCCCTGAGCGCCTGAGAGGGAGGGCAAGGGAGGTCATGAGAGAGAGGAGGAGGAGGAGGAGGAGGAGGAGGAGGAGGAGGAGGAGGAGGAGGAGGAGGAGGAGGAGGAGGAGGCGGAGGCGGAGGCGGAGGAGGAGGAGGAGGAGGAGGAGGAGCTCTGTGCCCCCCCCCCTCGGGCCCCCCTCCTGTCCTATGAGGGGGAGGGGAGGAGGCGCGCGGCCCTGCCCGAGGCCCGCCTCCTTCCCCTTGAGCGCACCCCCTCCTGAGCCCTATCCCCTCTTGACGCTGCCCCCCCTCGCGCTGCCCCCCCCCCTCCTGGGCCTCTCCTCGGAGGCGGAGGCGAGGAGGCGAGCGGCTGTGCTCGAGACCCCGCCTCGTTCCCTGGCAGCGTCATCTCGCGCAGCTCCGCGGCGCTGCCCGGCCCGCGCAGGAATTCGTCCATGCGCAGGTAGGCAGCCGCCAGGCCCTTCTCGGGGTCCTCGCCGCGGCGGCCAGGGGCGAGCCGAAGAGGCCCGCCAGCCCGCTGGTGCTGACGACGGTGCTGGTGCTGGTGCTGGTGCTGGTGCTGGTGCTGGTGCTGGTGCCGGTGCTGGTGCTGGTGCTGGTGCTGGTGCTGGTGCTGGTACTGGTGCTGGTGCTGGTGCTGGTGGTGATGCTAAAGATGGTAATGCTAATACTGGTAGTCGTAATAATAACTAGACTCACAATACCAAGCATCATAATAACAGCAGTACTACTAATATCAACCATGCTAATAATACGAATGGTAGTCATAAAACGTATCATTACAATTATTAGTGTTATTCCTGCGATTCTGAAACATACGAAGAGGAGTAATAGCAATACTAGCCATACTCACCATAATGACAACGCCAGATAATAATACGAGTACGAAGCGTAGTCATAAGAAATTGATGTATCATACTAATAAAAATCAGACGAAACAACACATTACCAAAACCACAAAACTATGTGTAATACACTTACGACTGATGCTACTACTACTGACGAGTTTGTTGCAGATGATGCTGCAGATGATGCTGCTGATGATGACAATACTGCTGATAATGATGCTGTTGGTGATGGTGATGGTGATGGTGATGGTAATGATGCTGACGATGCTGCCGCTGATGGTGATGATGATGCTGATGATGTTGATGCTGGTGATGATGATGATGATGATGCTGATGATGATGATGATGATGATGGTGGTCAGATTCATGATTGTGCTGGTGTTGAAGGTGATGATGACGTTGATGAGTATTAAGGTGATCCTGCTGAGCTGGCGATGTTGGTGATGGCTGCTGCTGAGGATGAGGAGGGGGAGGAGAAGGGGGAAGAAAATACCGCCACTGCCCGTACGACCTCCACCGACGGAAGGCCCGCAAAACAGAGTGCACCGTGATAAAAGACGACAATGCGGCAATTATTCCGACAAACGAATACCCCGATGAATTGCACGTTCAGCCTCAGCCGGAACAGCATTATGTCCGTGGCGAGAATGGAAATAACGATGATGAACTCTGAACCTTTCTGAGCGCCGATAAACGCTATGCGCCACGAAATCGAGTACAATGCACTGTCCCAGAACAGACCCTCAGAGGTCCGAATGCCGTTCGGAGATCGCACGTGCTACCGATGGCAGTGGCAGTCTCCAGCGTACGAATGGCAGCTCTGAAACATGCACAGCAAGTTCCATTGAACTGCGCACTAATGCTTCGTGGGCTGTCTGCATATGGTGGTCGATTCGCTATGATGCAGACGATTATGGTCGCGCTGCGCATCATCATCGTCATTGCCAGGAGCGCGGACCCCTGAGGCCCGCCCCCGCACTGTCCAGCCTTGCCTAAGCCCCGTTTCAGACAGGCCTGCCGTCCGATCCGATCCGATCCGATCCAATCCGAGTAGGGGGAGAAGGAGGAGTAGGAGGAGGAGGATTACCAAGCGCGCTATAGGCTTAAAGGGTACCTAAACCCATCTTTAAGGACGAGGCGGACACATGCTCAAAGTGGGAGGTACTGCCGAAAGCTATCGGCCACCTGCTGATACCAAGGGGGTCAAACCCCACTTATAGCTTTCGGCCGTACCTCGGGATAGGGTGCCTATCCGTCAGGAATAGCTGCTCGAATTTCCACCCCTCATTCCCGGAGGAGGAGGAGGAGGAGGAGGAGGAGGAGGAGGAGGAGGAGGAGGAGGAGGAGGAGGAGGAGGAAGGGGAGGAGGACGAGGAGGAGGAGGAGGAAGAGAAGGAGGGGAGGGAGGGCGAGGGGGGAGGGCGAGGAAAAAAGGCGGGGGGGGGGGGAAGAGGGGAGGGCGAGGGCCAGGGCGGGGGGGGGAGGGGGAGAGGAGGAGGGGAGGGGAGAGCTTCGGGGTACCAGAGGATGCTGGTCCACCACCGGGTGCGCATACATCATATGATCATTCATCGCTGACTCCACGTCGCCCTCCGGACAGCTCTCGGCGACGGCAGCCAGGTAGTTGTCCAGCCCGGCCCGTGAGGCCGGAAGAAGCCAGAAAGGGCCCCAGTGGGGCCTCGGTCGGACCCCGAGGGCCGCTCTCAAAAGGGAATCGGCCACCTCGGCGAGCCGCAACTCCCAAGGTGAGATTATCACGGCCAGGCTGCGGCCGCCACGCTTGTGCGGCCACCCGGGGCCACCATGTGAGGATGTAGGGGGGTGTCGGTTTTTTCCTTCCATCCGTCACTTGAGCCAAAGTGCCCACGGAAATTACGCAGGGGACCAATTCGCATGCAGGCGTGGTGTCGCACCGCATTTGGACTGATCCCCGCTCCCAGGTTCATTCAGGCGTGGAATGGCACCGCATTCCCCTGAGAGCCGCGCGCACTGCTAAGCTACAGTGCTGTTGACTCCTATACCCAGCTGGTGTAAGCTACGTGGTGCAAGGTATCGTGTCTGACTGCGTTCGTTCGCTGTCTCCTCCGGCGTACGGGCGCCCAGACCGTTGCGGCCCAAACTGCCTTAATTCATTTTGCATGGTCCCTCGGGGTTGTCTGGGGCATATTCTGCAGGAAACTCAAAACGCAACGCAAATGTAACGAATTTCGCCGTCAGGGTTGCCCAGGGCATACATACGGTTTGGTCGGGCACAACTATGCAGACACCCCTCACACACGCTCCTCCTCCGAAGCCGTGTTGGGGCCGCGGCTGCAACAAAGGCGCGGTGGTGTGGAGGGTGCCCTTGCACCTCCGAGCACCCATACACGAATACTAGAACCACGCGCGCGCTTCGCGCGCTTAGGTTCTAGCTAGGAGGCGAGCTTGAGTCAACGAAAGTCGCAGGGAAGGGGGCAGGGGGAAGAAGGCCAGAGAGCGCTGAAGGATACAAATACTGGAACCCTCTTGTGATTTTGTGGGGGGCCTCGTCCGGCCGCTCGCTGGGAGTTTGACGTAGCTTCTCGGGAGCCTCTGAACCTGTCGGGGGCCTCCTGGAAGCAGGTTCGAAGCATTTTGGGGGCCGATTTGGGGCTTCTCGGGGCCTCCTTTGGGCCTCTTGGGGGTCTCCTGGGGCCTCTTGAGGGGCCTCCTTGGGGCCTCCTGGCGGCCTCTTGGGGCGGAAGGCTCGAGCTTGCGGTTCGTGGTCCCCCTCTGGGCCCCCTCTTGGGCCCGTCTTGGGGCCCTCTTGGGCCATCTTGGGCGCCTCTTGGGCCGTCTTGGGGCCCTCTTGGGCTGTCCTGGGGCCCTCTTGGAAGCTTCTTGGGCCGTCTTGGGGCGGTCTTGGAGGCCTCTTGGGCCGTCTTGGACGCGGTGAAAGCCCAAGATGCGAACATGCGAAAAATATACTTTAGAGGCTCACCACCGAAAAACTCACCCCAAGACGGGAGCAGCGGAAAGGCGCCAGCCAATAGAAATCAGGACCACGAGGCAACAGCGATGGACCGACGATTTTCGGTCCTGACAGATGATCTGGGTGCCGCCGAGAGCGGCGGCTTCCTTTGCTGAAGTCCAGAGGCGGGCTGGCTGGGCGACGGGCACAGCGGTTGGCCCCGCTCTGAACTCACAATCCCCAACACCGGGAAAAGGAGGCAGAAAAGTACGAAGACGAAAAAAGGGAGGGAGGGAACAGGGAGAACTTGAGACGGAGAACACATGCATAACTCGTTATACAGACGGCGCATCTGCTGCTCCCCGCCCCCCCCCCGATGTCCAAGGTAAAGGTCGGGGGGGGGGAAGGGGTGAGAGGTGGAGGCCCGAAAAATTCATTGTATCTTATACAACACACATTTAGAGGCTCACCACCGAAAAACTCACCCCAAGACGGGAGCAGCGGAAAGGCGCCAGCCAATAGAAATCAGGACCACGAGGCAACAGCGATGGACCGACGATTTTCGGTCCTGACAGATGATCCGGGTGCCGCCGAGAGCGGCGGCTTCCTTTGCTGAAGTCCAGAGGCGGGCTGGCTGGGCGACGGGCACAGCGGTTGGCCCCGCTCTGAACTCACAATCCCCAACCCACCGCTGATACGCACAGCGCCTGGCTGATGTGGCCCAGGGCTCTGGGTGGGCGGGGTTGCCACGTCAGCCGAAATCATTCTGCCTCCGACAAACCAAAAAATCGATTGAATCAAAGCATTCACTCTCGCGCCATCTTTGGGCGCGGCAGCTGCCTGGCCAGGAGCTCACGGCCGCGCGCCATCACGGCGGCGGGCGCGGCCGCTCTCGCGGCCACCAGGGCGTGCGTCTTCATGTAGCGCAGCACCGACTTCTCAGAAGCCCAGCGGCCGCGCCGCTGGATGGCCCACACCGTCCGATAGCCCTCCGCCGCGTCGTGGCTGGGGCCCGAGTGCCTCGCTGAGTGGGCTGGGAAGGCGGTGATGCCGATGTCGTCGCTGGCCTTCCGCAGGGCACGACGGTAGGCCTCCACCGAGCAGCCGAAGACCAGCTCGCCCGGCTTCTTGGCCGCCTTGCGCGCCCGCAGCATGTCGGCGATGTGCGGGCGGTCGATCAGCACGCCCTGCCTCACTCCCGTCTTGGTGCGCTCGTTCCGCTCCTGCACGCCCAGCTTGATGGCCACCACGTCATTGTCGGCGTCGATGATGTCCTCGACTCGCAGCGCGAAGACCTCCGCCGAGCGGAGGTAGGCGTCGACCGCCAGCGCTGCTGCATCTGCTGCCTCCACGGACCCGGCCAGCCTCATGGCCTCGCCCAGGGCAGCCCACACCTCGAGTGGCTGAGGCCCACCCTCGCCGGCCACGTGCATCTTGTGCCACGCCCGCAGGGCCCGATTGGCTCGCGGGAGGCCCGTAGACAGCTCAGGCCAAACGAACGCCATGCCGTGCACCACGTAGTCGCCCCTGTGCGGTCCCACCTCCTCGTCCTCGACCAGGTAGTCTAGGTAGACCAGGATGGAGTTGTCGATCTCCTCCCTGCTCATCATGGGCAGGTCGAGGTCCAGCGCGAACTCCAGGAAGCGCCGCACGTTGGGCACGTAGCAGTTGAGGGCCGTCTTCTTGCCCACCGAGTAGGGCAGAAGCGAGAGCCCAGCCTCCGAGGTCTGCGTGGGGCCTGATGATCCAGCTCTCTGACTCTCATTTCGTCGATTGGTAGCGTGCATCCGCCGATCCTGGGAATGGTGACGCAGACGACCGTCGGCGAGCGGCATCCCATGGCAAACCCGAGGAAAGAAGCAGCAGGCCATGACGCCGAGGCCGGTCCTGGAGATGGTCACCCTGAGGCCTCCAGGAAAGAGGCAGGCAGCACGTCGATGTCCCGTATGTTGCGCCGCCTCCGCTCGAGCGTCTCCTTGATCAGCAGCTCCACGGCCCTCTCGGTGAACTCCGCCTCGCGCCGCTCGCGCCCGTCCAGCATCGCGTCCAGGTGGCACTCGGCCAGCACGCGGCAGAGGTCGGACGAGTAAGCCTGAGCTACCCGCGTCCTGAAACGCCCCGTCTCGTCCTTCCCGCACAAGCTCGCCGTGTGGCTCTTGTGAATACATGGGCGAATGAGCCGCTGCAGGTCCTTGGCTGTCCCCGAGATAGTGGTCAACTTGAGTGCGGGACAGCCCCACATGCACTGAGGAAAGGTCACCCTGTAGGCACCGAGAACCTCCTCCCACTCCAGCACCTCGGGCGTTGCAAAGATCGAGGGGAACGGAGGCTTCCCCGGGTCGGCAGGATGCTCCAGCGAGACTGAGCCACCTCGTAGAGCGATCGCCCTGAGCACGCGCAGGCTGCTCAACAGCTGCGCCGAACCCATCTCCACCTTCCTCAGGTCGGCGCCGTGAAGACCGGGGCGGCCCCACGGGTGTGAGCGGAGGCGCACAGGAGGGGGTCCTCCTGGCTGGAAGCGCACCCTCGACCACGTAGCGCACGAGGGTCCAGCATGGCCTCCATCCACCTCCAGCTCGGCGAGCAGCTCCAGCCTCCGCACGTTCACCTCCTCGGACAGGTCGAACTCCGGCCCGAACCCGATGTCCACGTTCGTGCACTGCACCACGTACCCCCGACTGGCCGCGAGACGAGCGAGCCAGAACTCCAAGTCGCCCGACCGCGTGTGGCCGCTGCAGAGGTGAAAGAAACGCAGCACCTTCGCCCTCACGGTCCGACCCAGCCGCAGCGGCGCGAAGGGATCCTCCTCCGCGATGTCCGCCAACTCCTCGATCACCTGACCCGTGTCGGCGGGCAGCACGGTCTCGCCCTGCAGTCGCTCCTTCGGCGCCTGCCCGATCGGGAAGCCTCGGCTGGGGCCGTCGCTGTGGTTGCGGTCGGACGGCGCCCAACGCCAGTACTCCCTCATGCCGCAACCCAAGTCGATCGCGGCCATCCGGCGGCACAAGATGAGGATCGGCTTGCTGGCCGACCTGCCCTTGCTGAAACCGCCCAGGCACACCATGGAGTCGGTGATGCGAAGATGGCGGCGGCCCCAGCTCGCACGCGACCGAGCGGAGTGCCTCACCGCAGCCAGGCCCGTCCTCATCTCCAGCAGGTTGATGTGCTCCTTCTCGTCCCAGCGCCAGCGGACCACCTCCTTCCACCTCGACATGTCGTCCCAGCAAGCGTGCACCGGTGGTACCCTCACGCGCATCCCGAGCTCGACTCCCTCGGCGATTCGCCGATACGCCTCGCCTTCTGCCCAAGAGTCCGCCGCCCAGGAAGACGAGATGCCAGTCCAGACGGTCCACCCTCCTCTGACAGCAAAGCGGGCCTCTCGACGCATCTCCTGGATGTCGGCCTGGGCCGAGATGATGGCCCCGCCGTAGAGGCTCGCGTCGAACATCGTCACCGCGGGGTCCCAGGGCATGGCCAGGTCGACAGACACCAGCGGCACCACCGCCGCTGCCACAGCCAGCTCGCGGAGGACCTCGTCGGGCAGCCGACGGCGGGGGCCCCCTCGGAACTCCATGCACCAGTGATAGACCTCCGAGAAGACGCTCAGGGCCCCTCGAGTGATCAAGAAGCCCCAGGACAGGATACCCACGATCTTGGCCACCGCGTCCGGGAACTCCGACCTCTGCTTGAGGATCTCGCTCACCCCGGCCACGGCCAGCCACATCTTGTCCTGGTTCGGGGCTAGGCGTGCGCCCACGAAGTCTCCACCGATCATCCGGGCCTGTCCCGAGCAGTCGTCCTTGTGCACATTGAAACCCGCGGCGTTCACCAGGTACTTGGCTCCCAACCAGATGTCCCTGACCTGCGTGGGCGGCTCGGCGTCGGCAATGGGAGGGTAGTCCACCCCGATGATGCCGAAGTCGTCGATGTACTCGTAGTGCGCCGCAGGCACCCCCCGACTGATCAGGGGCAGCGGGCCGCCTTCTGCCAGACGCTGCTCCTCGGCAAGGGCAGGCATCCCCATGGAGGGACCAGAGTTGAACAGGTCCTCCATAGTCGTCTGGGCCATCCAGCAGGCCCAAGAGAAACCCATCAGCGCCACGCGCACACCAACGTGCTCGCCTGGCCCGCTCAGGCAGGCGTCCGAGGGGAGAACGTCGAGAAGCTCCGAAGCTCGGACTCCAGGCAGCACGAAGTAGGGCGCGATCGCCTCGCCCAAGTCCAGCGTGTAGTAGAAGTCGGGGAGGTCGCCAGTACCAAACACCATTCGAGCGCCCTCCTCCGCCATCTCCTCGGACACGTCCAAAAACGACATGGCACTGACCCCGCCCATGGCACACCACGGCGGCGCCCGCCAGCGTAGGTTGGACCGCCGCTGATCGAAAACCAAACGCAATGACACCAACGGCTCGCCGTCCACGACCTCGGCCTTCTTCACCACACAGAAGAGCCCGACCTCGTCCACCTTCGATTCGCAGCGGCACAGCATCCCAGCCAGCGCCATGCGCTTGGCCAGCATCAGCATGTCCTTCTTGCGGCGGAAGTGCGGGTCCACGTAATTCTTCACCTCCGCGGCCCTGACGCACTCCTCGCCGTCCTCCTTCAGCATCTCCCTCCGAAAATCGTCTAGCATCTGAGCCACTCTCGGCGACACAGACCTCGCGCTCACCGGCATTGAGCCTGGAGGGGGAAGAGCGACCCGCTCCCAATGGGCGGGAAACGTCTCGCCCCGGTCTGGCAGTCGCACCTGTCCACCAGCACACCTCCTCCGCAGCTCGGCCAACCGTTGGGTATAGGTCGACCGGGATTGGTTCTCCGCCGCCGTAGCGGCGGGGCGCAGCCGCAGGATCGCGGCTCCTTGCTCGGGCGTCGAGGGAGGCGGTGGTAGGCGACGTACCTCCTCCAGCACACGCCTCGAGAGGTCCCCGTCCATGGTGCTGGGCAGTGGCCCCTGACCCCAGATCTCCCCAGGATGCAGGAGCTCGTCGCCCAACGTCCCACGATAGAGCTGGCGGAGTCCCAGCAAGCACCGATTGGCCCGCTGCGCGACGTCCAGCTCCTCCCGCCAGCGTGAGAGCACCCGCCGTGAGCTCGACGTCGGCCTCTCCGGTCGTGGGATGAGCACCACCTCCGACAGGACGTCCCGCCTCCTCGACATGAATAGCCCAATTCGTCGTGCAGTAGATCACCTGCTGGAACCCGACGCTCTTGCCGAAGTCCCACAGACTCGAAACCCAGAGGTAGACGAGAAAACTTGACCAGCCACGGTGACGAGGCCGATCGCGTGCAGGGGCTCCTGGCGGACCTTCGCCAGTCAGCCCCGTGGAACGTTCTCTGGGGCTCACGGCGGGCTCGCACCCCCGCCGTCCAGGTCCGTGCGCGCCTTGATCAGCTGCGCATCTCGACCCATTGCCTTCTTCACCTCCTCCTCTGCACTCATGACCCTGATCGTGCTCTCGCCGGCCAGCTGCGGATCCAAGCGCCGCGCCGCCTCCCAGTCGACCTTGGACTTCCAGCTCTTGGCGTCCTTGGGCCTGCTCCAGTCGTCGCGGCAGTGCACGTCGCGGTAGGCCCTCACCAGAGCGTAACCCTTGCGCACCAGCCTCTCGAAGCTCACCTGGTTCAAGAGCCCCTTCTGGCGGTCCGTCATGAGCATGGTGTCCACGGCCGCGAAGGTCGCGATCATCTCCCTCGCGGTGTTGCAGTCGGCGAGGCCACGATCCCTGATGTAGTCCCTCGCCCACGCCTCCGCCGTCTTCCCAGTCGAGTAGACCTCCGAGAGAACGTCCGGCGCGATTCTCTCCCTGTAGCCCTCCGGCATCCTCGTCGCCCACTCGGAGGCTGGGTACTCCTTGAAGTCCTCCAGCTGCTCCAGGAAGACCTGCTGTGGCATCTGAGCCTTGAACCTCATCCGCTTGATGGCCAAAGACACCGCCTCGGCAGGCTCCGAGGCTGCACGCTTGTCGGGAGTCTCCATCGGCACCGCTGCGTCCCCGCGCGCCGGCGAGGCGGGACCCTCCGCCGTGCCCACGGGCGCGGCAGGGGAGGCTCCCGCTGCCCCCGCAGGCGCTGCCGCCACGGCACCTCCCTGCAAGCGAGCCTCGAACTCGTCGAGCCGGCTCAGCATGGACTGGATCTGCAGCTGGTTGGCAGCCGCCACCTCGGCACCACGGTCCGCGCTCGATGACACCATCGCCGAGCGCCTCAGCTCCCGAGCCCGCTCGGCAATCCTGATCTCGTTCAGCTCCGCGGCCATCGCCCTCTGAGACTCGGCTAAGTCGTCCAACTGGGCCACGAGGGCGGGGTCGGGACCAGCAGCGACGGGCGGAGAAGCCCCTGAAGGCGGCGGCAAAGGAGGCCCCACGACCGAGGCACCCCCGACGTCGCCGACCACAGATGATGCCGAGGACGAGGCCACCGACGAGTGACCAGTCTCCTCCGCCTCCTGCATCTCGCGAGCTCCCCAGATCATGAGCAGGACGAGCGCCAGCAGCAAGGCCGCCCAGCGCCGCAACGGCATGAGCTTCCGAGCCCACTCCACCCACTCGCCCCCGTAGGACACCCACTCCTGGATTGTCTCGGACGACTCGATGACAGTGTCCCTGCAGGCCACCATCCAGCTCACAAACGCGGACCACGTCTCCACGATCATATCCACCACCCCCAGGTACTTCAGAGCCTCGAACAGCACGAAACCCAGCGCCAGCAGCCCCAGCACACGGTACGGAGAGCGCAACGCCCACCGCAGAGTACGCAGCGAAGAGCGAGCAGAGCTGGCCATAGCATAGAGCACGTTGACGGCGACAGCCTGCTGGGCCTGACGACCCGGTCGGTACAGCTCCAGCGCTGGGATAGTACCTGCCCGCAGACCGTCCGTAGCCTGCTGCATGAAACTGTTCTTCTGCACCTGCGTGAGTGCGGGAAGCGCCTGCCAGCGGATGCCTGGCACGGGGTCGGAGAAGACCGTAGTCTTCGCAGTGATCGTGATGGTGCCCATGGAGAGATCGGGCAGCAGGGCCGCCCAGCAATTCCCAGTCTTCCGTCGAACTAGGAAAATCTCCAGACCATCTGTCGCGCTCCGGCGATAGTAGCGCCTGCTCCATACCTCCACTGGCATAACCCGCTCGGGCGTGAAGTCCTCACCCTCCAGCGGCTCCTCCTCGAGGCTCGGAGGATCACGGACCACGGTCACGAGCGTCCAGAGGAACACCAGGAGCGGCCCGCCACAGCGCGCCGTCGCGAGGATTCGACCCCCGCCTTCTGGCAGGCTCAGCGCCTGCCCTGCAAAGAAGATCGGGCGATCCCCACACTCAGAGCCCACCAGCTCCCAGGACGAGCCAGCAGAAGATATCGCACTGCCCGCGCGAGAGGGAGAAGTCGAGCAGACTGACTCGAGCTCAAGCGAAATCTGCATGAACGCTTGAGCCCCAAAGAACTTGAGACGGAGAACACATGCATAACTCGTTATACAGACGGCGCATCTGCTGCCCCCCGCCCCCCCCCCGATGTCCAAGGTAAAGGTCGGGGGGGGGGGAAGGGGTGAGAGGTGGAGGCCCGAAAAATTCATTGTATCTTATACAACACACAGTTTTCCAATAGGAATGACACGATTTTTGTTTCTTGGACCTCTTGGGGTGCCTCTCGGAACGTCTTGGGCTGATGTTGGAAGCCTTTTGGCGCCTCTGGGTGGCGTTTTGGCGCCTCCTGGGATATGTTGGGCCGGAAGCTCGGAATTCGAGAGTGGCTTTCTCCTTCTGGGACCCCTCTCGAAGTCGTCTTGGGGTTCTCTTGGGCCGTCTTGGGGCCGTCCTGAGCCACTCGTGCGCAGCCTTGGAGCGCTCCCGGAGGCCTCCTAGGCCGTCTTGGAGGCCTCTTGGGCCGTCTTGGACGCGGTGAAAGCCCAAGATGCGAACATGCGAAAAATATACGTTTTCCCATAGGAATGGCACGATTTTTGTTTCTTGGACCTCTCTTGGGGTGCCTCTCGGAACGTCTTGGGGTGCTTTTGGGAGCCTTTTGGCGCCTCTTGGCGGCATTTTGGCGCCTCCTGGAGCCTCTTGGGCCGGAAGCTCGGAATTCGAGGTTGGCTTTCTCCGTCTGGGACCCCTCTCGAACTCGTCTTGGGGCTCTCTTCGGCCGTCTTGGGGCCGTCCTGGGACACTCGTGCGCAGCCTTGGAGCGCTCCCGGAAGCCTCGTAGACCGTCTTGGGCGCCTCTTGGGCCGTCTTGGACGCGGTGAAAGCCCAAGAGGCGAACGTGCGAAACATATGCGTTTTCCCATAGGAATGGCACGATTTTTGCGTCTTGGGCCTCTCTTGGGCTGCCTCTCGGAGCGTCTTGGAGGCTTCTGGGACCTTCTTGGTGGCGTCTTGGAAGGCATCTGGAGCCATCGGAGCGCGTTTCGAAGCCGCCTGCGAACGATCTTGGACGGCGTCTGGCGGTCCGACGAGCCCCCGGGCCCCCCGGAGCCCACATTTGTGGTCGGGGTCCCGGCCCCGGGCCCCCGGACCCGGTGCGCCGTTATATGTATATATAGAACAAAAACGTGACTAATAGTCTGAGATACAAATCTGCCCTCCTAAGCCAGAGCTCGGAGGCCGAAATGCTGCCGGATCCTCGCCGCGTGCTGGACCCCGCCGCACGTCGCGAGTCCGCCCGCGCACTGCTCGGTGGTGCCGACGAAAGGCACCTCGAGCAGCCCGCGTGCCATCCTGGAGTGGATGGCGTTGACCTTCGTGGACAATGCGCGGGTCCGCCATGAACCTTGCCCTTCTGCCACGTGGTTCGCCGCGGCACTGTCTCCGCGCAGCGCCGGCCTCACTCGGAGCCCCATGCTCTCGAGAGCGGCGGTTGCCGCAGCGCTCATGTTCTCGCCGACGGCCAGTGCGTTCACCTCCGCCTCCGTGGCGCTGAACAGGACGACCTGCTGGCGCCGCATGCTGCGCCAATCGACCAAACGACCGAAGAGGTACGCGGAGACACCCGTCTGGGCGCGGATGTCCTTGAAGCTCGCGCCGGCGTGCGACCCAGAGGGGGCGGCTCGCCATGCCGACCCCAGCGCGACGTGGCGCCCCGAACCCACGCGCATCGCCCCGGCGAGGTAGCGCAAGATTTTCTCGCCGAGCAACAAACTCTGGACAGGACGCTTCGCGGCGACATCTGCGACGCGCGACGCTGCAAAGGCGATGTCCGGACGCGTCCGCGAGGCCAGCGCGAGGGGCCCTCCGGCCATGCGCTGCGCGAGCATGACATCGCTCAGCGTTGGCTCCCCCTCGCTCCTCTTCGCCGCCCCAGCGAAGTCGTCGAAGCTCTCCATATCCAGGTTGATGGAGCCAGCGCCGCTCGCCTTCTCCATGCCCCGCACCTCCAGCAGCTCCCCCGCGCGGGCATGCTGCGAGAACGTGATGGTGGAGGCGATCTTGACCTCGGTGCCACTGTAGAGGTAGCGCGCAACCCCCGGCGACCCAAGTCCAGTTTGGGGTTGGGATGATGTCCTCCAGAGCCCCCCCAAAGCCGACCTCGTCGGCGAAACGACCGACGAAGGCCCCGAGATGAGGAAGTCGTCCACGCACGTGAAGACGCACCCGCAAACGCTGCCCGCGGATTCCACGATACTCCGCGCTGCCCCGTCCGCGGTGCTCTGCCGGGGCCGGAACTGCTGGCCCTGCGCGCCCTCGACGAAAACGCCCTTCATGACCGAGTCTCGCTAGAGAAAAGTTGACATGAACGATCCTGTCAATAAAAGATACTCTCATACATGATAAATTATTATGCCTGCCATGCAAGCGGCCGCCTTGTCCTTGGGATAGGCGTTGCATCAGTAAGCATGTTGCCCTTTCCTTTCCGAAGGATACTGAGTCCCAGAGCGCAGCTCGCCGTCAGCATCATCGCGCATCATCGATCTCCTCCGCGTCGCGTCTTGTGCGCACCACGTGCTGGGGGCAGCGGGTGCGCGCAATACCTATGAGGGCGTGTTGGGCAGCTTTACTGTTGGTAGTGAACTGCCAGTTGTCACCCACGAGTATCTCAACTGCGTCGCGGACCCTGAAATCGCCATGCGAGCCGACTTGAAACACTGCGCCCTGAGTGGGCGAATATCCGATAAAAGAAAGTCCCCGTACCCGACCGTACGCTGAGAGCGTCGCGTCCAAGAAATCACTCCAGACCAATCTCTCACCAATCAACTTCTGAAACCCCAGAATAGCAACCGAGTGCTCTGGATGTAATATGATATTCTGCGCCCAGTAGCGACGAGCTCGTCCTCCACAGAGATCTGCACAACAACCCGGCAAAACGTCGTGGAGGTGGCGTCACAACGGACAGTGCCCATGCCCACAGGGGTCTCACATATGCATATGCCAGTCTGAGACGTAGTTGATGGCTGCCAGGGATAGGCCCCAGCGCGGATGTCGCGGTCTCTAGCTTCTGCCACCCGCCCCTCGAGAGTATGGGGTAACGGGACTGTGGTCTGTCGGCGTCGCCAGTATTCCGAGGTGCCCCACTTGGACAGGAACAGGATCGTCGATACTCCAGCGTTGCTTCTTGCCCTGGTTCTCGCAGTAGCCGGTGGACGTGTCGAACTGTTGGGTCATCAACAAGTCTGCATCGAGGTCATCGGTGTTTTGAGCAACCAAGTTTCTGTCATCCATGAAGGCATGGCCTTCAGACGTCGGTACGCATGGCACCAGCGTCGATATGACCGTACATGGAGCCGTGCTGTCGCCCTGGGGCGGGCCTCTGCACGGATCCAGCGGTGGAGCGAGCTCACCCTGGATAGAGCAAATCCGCGGGCCCTTCCACGCGGCGTAGCATGTGTACATAACTGCGTAGGGCATGGCTGTGGTCGAACGCCGCCGAGAGGTCCATCTCCGCGCCGCACTGTCCTTCGGAGCAATATTTCAGCCACTTGGTCACTGCATGCACCACCGACGCGTGTCGGCGATTGGCCCACTGCAGGTCTGGAGGGGAAGCCGAAGCCGTTGACAGCGCCCGAAGCCAGGCACGCATCAGCACAGATCCAACCGAGATCGGTCGGGTGGCCTCCTCGTTCTTTGGCATGCCAGCCACGCGCCAGGGAAGCATAGCGCGCAGTACTTCCTGAGGCAGCCGTGCACGTAGTTCAACTGTTTCTGGAGACGCAGCCATCCACAACTCGTACAATGGGGTAGATTCTTTTCAATGCTTTCAACTCACGACTCGTCCAGCCGTCCAGTCCTGGGCATCCTTTAGCCTGACGGACTGCGTGCGCGAAGGTGTCGAGCGACGGCATCCAGTCAAGAGGGTGGGTGGACTTCGGGAAGGCCACGGCCGAGACATGTTGCCTCCAGGCGGCGACGTAGCCCGTGTTGTCGTAGTTTTCTGGCTTCCAACGTTTGACCCACTGCTCTCGCATATCTGCGGCTGCATGGGCTGGTGCTGGTTGGCCTCCCTTGAAGAGAGGGGTAGCTGCTTTCCACAATTCGTTGCTCCAGCTCGCAAAGCGCTGCCGCCACTGTGCGGCGTTCCTCTTCTGCGTCTGAGCCTGCTCGACGGTGATTCCCTGCGAGAGCCAGTCCAGCGCGTCCGAATATGTGGGCATGCCAAGTGCCGTGACCCGAACCAGTCCGTCGAAAGCCCCGGCGGCCAACTGAGCGTAGTGTTTCGGCTCCAGCGTAGCGATACTTGGAGTGCCTTGGCGCAGGTGTTCTGCGAAACGCCGATGCAGACGACGGAGGCGTCGCAGTGCGATGGTCTCGTCGGGCCTGTGCCTCTGAGGACCCCCGACTCGATCTGGGGGCTAGGTCATCTCAAAGAGCGGGAGGCTGCACAGCTCGCCTTGGGTAGTAGGTTGCCAAGAACCACCACTCGGATGTTGTGTGAAGCATAGATCGACGGTGTGCCGGCTCGCATGGAGCACCCAGCCAAGAACGCTAGTATGCCTGAGGCCCCTTCTTCCTGGGGTTTGCCTGAGATGGTCCGCTTGACGGCTCTCCCCGATGTTCGCCTACATCGGATTGACCAGCGCATGTCATGTTTGGTTCTCATCATTTGAAGCCCACGGTGCTTCTAGGGGGTCATCTTGGGTCGATGGAAGAGATCTTGCTTGCCAAGCGTGGTGGGGGGGGGGTTGTTGCGTTCACACTAGGCCTCACCAGGGGCTCAGAGGGGGTTGGGGCCGATGGACTCTGGAGGACCAGCCATGCCAAAGTTTATCGCAGACCCCTTTATCTGTTCATGGCTGCCTCCATTCTCCAGGGAGCGCGTTGTGGATTTCCCAGGATTCGGACCGATTGCCCTCTACCACGTGTCTCCTTTGATGATATGGTGCGTCCTCGTCCCTTTTGGAGCAGAAGTGAGGAGCGATCCTTGAGAAGGCTCCTCCAACTTGCCACGACGGACGACGGTTGGGATCTGCCGTGCGGTTTGCGACGCTTTGCCTCCTCTTGGGATCCATCCATTGCGACGGGGACATCTATGGACTGCATGCTCCATACCAGGAATGGGCGTCGCACAGCTAACCACGAGGGTGCGCACTCCGTGTCCCTCTCTCTCTCGCTACGCCTGGAGTTGCAGGGCTCGCAGCGATAGGTGTTCAATCGTGAAGGGCCCAGGGGGAAGGAAACGCCAGGATCTCGGCCCGATCTTTGCGGCAGCGCCAACTTTAGGCAGTACCTTCTGTGTGATGCCAGGGGCCCCTTGAAGGTTTGGCTGCCCCCGTAGGGGGGTAACGATTCTTGCCATGGGGAAGGCCTCTTTTATCTTTCCATCCTCGGCTCTCCTTCCATGTTCCACCCTTTTAGCATCCATCCACTTCAGCGAGAGAACCCAGCTCTCCAGCTGACAGGTCCCTTCCGTTCCTGTCCCTGCTTCTCTATCTGCTCTCTCCATGCGCTTCGACATCTCTTGCGCCACGACCGACCGACCGACCGAGGAGGAGGAGGAGGAGGAGGAGGAGGAGGAGGAGGAGGAGAGCGCGGGAGAACGCTTACGAGGATAAGGAGACAGGGAAGGTCAACAAAGAAGAGGGAGAAATTATGCGCCCGTGGCTTCCAGACGTTACAACGCTCAAATGCCGCCCAGGTAAGCTGGCCATTCGCCCTGGGAGCCGACACTGCATCGCGTGCCCTCCGTCCCCGCGTTCCCCCCTAACCGCCCACTCCCTCCCATCCCTTTTCATATGCTCCCTCCACTACTTACCCCGCCCTGCTCCCTCCCATGGCCTCCCTCTTACAGCTCTTCCTTCGCCATGCCCCCGCCCGCCCCCCTGGCCCGGGCACTCCCCGCCAATGGCCGCCCCCACACACACACACACACACACACACACACACACACACACACACACACACACACACATACACATACACATACACACACACACAAACACAGCACCCTCGACCACCCATCCCCCTCCAGACTCAGACAACTCCGCCCTCTCCTCCCTGCCCTCCTCCTCTCTGCCCTCTTCCTCCGGCCCCCTCCCCCCGCTCACCCGAGGGGCACGGTGGCACGGTCGCCCGCGAGGAGGGCACTATCCAGGCGCGAAGCCAGCCTCCGCGGCGACCTGCCTGGCTCTCTCCGTCTGTCTCTCTCGTTATCTTGTTTTGTTGTTTCTTCTCTCTCTCTCTCTATCTCTCTTTTGTTCTCTCTCTCTCTCTCTCTCTTCCTGCGAATTCGTGGACACATTGTGGCTCGCAGCGAATTTCGGCGGATTCTCCCTCCTTAACAAGGTCCCCCATTACGGGGCGGTCCTGCCGCAGCTCGCCGCCCAGCTCCGCCAGCGCGCCCGGCAGCCTCCGCGCCACGAGCCGCGACACCTGCTCGCCCCCGTGCCCGTCGAAGACGCCAAACAGGGCCGCGTCGCGCCACTCGCCGCCCACGTAGCCCACGGGCAGCACGAGAGAGGCGTCCTCGGCGGCGCGCCGCAGGATCTTCTGGCATCGAGACGTCTTCGTCGGTTCTCTGCGCTTTCCAGCCCTGGAGTGTTTTACAGCAGCTGCGCCTGGCCGAGAGCGTCCTCGAGCGGCCACCAGGAGAGCCGAGCGACGATCCGGAAACCGAACTCGGGGGCGCGCGTGGGAGGGGGCAGGCCTTCCCAGAGAGCGGCGGGGCTTTTCAGGAGCCCTCTTGCCTTCCGAGAGGCAGCCTCTGGCTTCGGAGGAGGCTCAGAGCGCTCCTCAGAAGGCCGGGAGCTTTCGGAGCCTTCTGAGAAGGCCCGCCCCCAGTTGCCTTCCCCTCTGGGCGCGCCGCCGACCAGTGAAGACTGGGCAATGCATGCACCGTCACCACGCTTTTGTTGCCAGGTGCGAAATCTGTGGCATTCCCTGAGCACCTCCTCTGCCCCTATAGGCCCTAGCGACCCTTGCCTACCGCTCGTGAAACGGCCACCGAGGCCAACGGACGGGAGGGAAGAGGAGGAGGAGGAGGACAAGGAGAAGGAGGAGGAGGAGGAGGACAAGGAGAAGGAGGAAGAGGAGAGAGGAGGAGGACGACGAGGAGGAGGAGAGGACGACGAAGAGAACAAGGAGGAGGAAGAGGAGGAGGAGGAGGAGGAGGAAGAAGAGCTAGACCTAACAACGGAGGCCAGCCCGAGCAGGAGGAGGATGATGAGGAGGAGGAGGAGAAGGAGGAGGAGGCGGAGGAGGAGGAGGAAGAGCAGGAGGAGGAGGAGGAGAAGAAAAATAAAGAGAAGGAGGAGGAGGAGGAGGAGGAGAAGGAAAGGAGGAGGACGAGGACGAAGACGAGGAGGCGGAGGAGGAGAAAGAGGAGGAGGAGCAGGAAAAGGATGAGGAAGAGGAGGAAAAGGAGGAAGAGGAGGAGGGCGCGAGGATGGGAGAAGGACGGGAAGAGGACGGGAAGAGGACGGGAGGAGGAGGACGAGGAGGAGGAAAAGTAGCAGGACGAGGAGGAGGCGAAAAAGGGTGAGGAGGACAGGAAGGAGGAGGAAGGAGGAGGATGACGGTGCCGAAGGTGCCAAAAGTACGGGGTGGTCTCGGAACCCCTGCAGGCCTTCAAGGGGATCCTGGCTGGGTGCTGGCAGAGTGTGGATTTTTCTCAGCTAGCCCACTGGACAATGCTCAGTGAACTGCACGCCTCGTGCAGACCAGCCAAAATCCAGAGCTGGATAAACGATATCACGCAATCAGCCATAGGAAGAGAGAGAGTGTAGTAGCTGAAGCAGCGACAGCTGCAGTTAAGTTTTGTGTGGATCGGTGCGCGTCACTGGGCCTCACCATCTCGGTGAAAAGAAAGGTTGCTTCAAACTCTCCCAGGGTCGCGGCGGCCATCAGGGCAAGGCTTCAGGAAGCCAGGATAAACCTGCAGCACAGTCAATTCGTGAAGGACCTGGGGATCGATGGCACCTCGCACCGCAGGAGCGTGGGCACAGCCAAGAAGCGAATGCAGGCGAGCCACGACCCAGGCCAGATGATCAAACGAGTGGCCAAAACATCGCGAGTTGTGGCCCCCCTGGTGAAGACGGGGTACCTGCCGCAAGCAGCCTGGGGCCTGGAGGGCCAAGGCATAGCCCCGTCTGTGCTTTTGAAGATGAGAGCGCAAGCTAGTGGCATGGTTGGCCGAAGGGAAGGGGGCTGCGCGACGACCACGATCCGAATGACCTTCCTTTCAGCACACCAGGACCCAATGGTGTTTGGAAGATTGCGCCTTTTTAGGGAATGGATGGGCATGTTGCCAGACCTCTTGGGAGATCGACGCCGAGCTGTACAGATATCCTGGCGCAATGATTGGACGAGTCCAGAAAATTCCAAATCGCGCTTGAGTAGAGTGAAAGGAACCTTGTCAGCCACAGTCGCAGCGCTGCAGGGTTTAGGGCTTTCGTCGGACTCGCCCTGGGAATGGATCAACCAGGATGGGGAGCGTCTCAACCTTGAGACTGATGACCCAGAGCGGTTCATAGACTTTAGATGTATGGAGCGTTAGAGCAGCAGGCATGGTTGGCAGCTTCCAAGCACTACCAGGGCAAGGGCCTAGAGCATGGCCCAGAGTTGCACATCAGTAAATGTCATATGAGGCAGCTCAGGAGGCAGGGCAGGTTCGACCAGCTAAGCACCCTTCGGATGATCATGTCTGGAGCGCTGTGGCCAGCGAATCGACGTGTTGGCGATGACGCCACACGCCCTACGCCTCCCAACCTCAATCCGTCTACCTCCCAGAGTGGCACATCCCTTGAGCCAGCAAAGGCGCAGGATCCGGAGTCTCCAGGCCAGGGCAGGGCCAGGAGAGGACCAGCAGGCTTGGCCAGGGTCGAGGAGCAGGCCAGGGTCGAGGAGCAGGAGGAGCCAGATGAGATTATTTTGAGCAAATGTTGGAGCAGGCCCAGTGGGAGGACCAGCAGGCTTGGCCAGAGCCTCCTGAGGATCCCTCGGAGCCCTTGGACCTTCTCGAAGGAGCCTCGGAGGTGGCCAGTCGCCCAAGCCGCCCCACCTGGTCCAGCCCTGCTTGCCCGCGCTGCGGAGCAGCCCAGGAAACATTGTTTCATCAATTCTAGGAATGCCCAGGCAATGAGGCCCTGGAGGCGCTACATGGCGAGCTGGCCAACCAGGCCGAGGAGGGGGTCCAGGATTTCCCCTGTCGTTTGCTCCGAGGGCTCGTGCCTGTGTTGTGGGTGTACCCGTTTGCGACTCGGCCGATACGGGGAGAAACACATGTAGGTGGAGATTTCGCCCAACAAGATAGTATATGTCTCGACCACACCACCACCGTGGCCACGGACGGGTCGGTGGCAAGTACCACGAAGATTTTCGAATTCGGAGGTGTGGTTGGGGGCTGGCAATCCTCCGTGAGCTAGAAGTTACAGCATGGGCGTTTGGCCCTGTGGAACGTTGGAAACCGTCAGTTCCGATTGCTGAGGCGTGTGCAGCTGTTCAGGCCCTGTCTCGGACCAGAGGCCCCGTGCGTTTCGTCATCGTAGCCGCGTCCGTGCAGGCACACCTCCTGGCAGTAGCTGATCATGTCGCGCGCCAGGCCCCCGAGTTGTGCGGAGCCTGCGCCGAGACCGACAAGCAGCTGGAGGCCAAACGGAGGGCGCAGGGGGAGAAGGGATGTTGTCCAGGCGGCTGTGGAGGTGACAACCCACAAGCTCCAGCAGGACGCGAGAGGGAGGCTCCGTTGCTCTCTCTGTCTCACTTCCCCTTCCTCGTCCTGCCCTAAGCCCGTTTGGTTAGGTAAGCAGTGTAGAGGTTTCCCCGCCCTCCTCCACCCCACCCACCAGATCATGCGTTTCCGTGGTATTTTCTGGTGTCGAGTGTGGGGGATCGGGGGCGTTTTCTTTTCAGAAGCTGGGCCAACCGTGCCTGACGAATCGCCCCTTGCCTACCCATGGCAAGAGAATGATAGGGGCCCTCGAACGCGGGGAACTCCCGAAGGATTATAAGGCGTGGCCCCAACCAGACGATGTTGGCCCCCCTCAGCCCGTAAAATCTTCTCATAGCTGCAATTAGTTCTCACAGCGCCCCCTCTGTCAAAGGAACCTGGCGCGCAGTTAGGCAAGAGGCAGGAGGAGGAGGACGAGGACGAAGACGAGGAGGCGGGCGAGGAAGGGGAGGAGGAGGAGGATGAGGAGGAGAAGAGGACGGCAGAACGGGAAACGGGCGGGAAGAGGACGGGAGGAGGAGGAGGGGGGGAGGAGGGGGAGGAGGAGGAAGAAGAAAAATAATAAGAAGAAGAATAATAAGAAAAATATTAATAATAATAATAATAATAATGATAATAATAATAATAAGAATAATAATACTAATAATAATAATAACAATAATAATAATCATAACAATAATGCTGAGAAGAAGACACAGAAGAAGAAGAGGACGGGAGGACGGAGGACGAGGACGGGGAGGAGGACTGGAAGGAGGAGGAGGACAAGGAACAGCAGGAGAAGGAGGAGGAGGAGGAGGAGGAGGAAAAGGAGGAGGACGAGGAGGAAAAGCGCGCGCCGCCCACGTCCTCCATGGACTCGCGCCACCCCCGCATGGCGCAAGACGCCCACGCCAGCCCCGCGCAGCCTCCCTCCTCTCCCGCCTTCTTCCGGTCTGGCTGCGCGGCCAGCTCCAGCCCGTCGCCCCAGGAGGCTGGGCACCCCGCGAGGTCCGCGAGCTCGCCCGGCACCTGGCGGCGGGCGGCACTGCCGGCAGGGCCCCCCGTCCTCCTCCTCTTCCTCCTCCTCCTCTTCTTCCTCTTTTCCTTGTTGTTCCTCTTTTCCTTGTTATTATTGTTCTTGATCTTATCAAAACTCCTCCTCCTCCTCCTCGTTTTCCTCCTCGTTCTCCTCCGCCTCCTCCTCCCAGAGAGGGCGTCCACCGACCCCCTCTGGGCCCAGGGCTGACCCCGCCGGCGCCGACCGCCACCATGCATTGAACGCGGTTCCGACACAGTCGCAATATCCGTAACTCCGTAACTCCTCCTCCTCCTCCACCTCCTCCACCTCCTCCTCTGCCTCCTCCCGTCCTCCTACCGTCCTCCTTCTTCTCCTTCTTCTTCTCCTCCTCATCCTCCTCATCATCCTACTCCTCATCCTCCTCCACCTCCTCCGCATCATCCTCCACATCCTCGGCCGCATCCTCTTGCATACCTTGTCCTTATAATTAATAACTCTTCCCTGTCGCATTCCCAGACGTGTCGGTAGGGCGGGCCAGCTGTTTCGCATGAAACTTTCTCACCACTTATGCTTCTGATAACAGCTTCACGGATGGCGAGCGGGCCCTTTCCAAAATGCTGTTCTCGCCTTAGCGCTGCGCGCATTCGTCTTAAACAATTGCAGCAGTTTTAAGGGTAGAGGGCAGGCCTTCTTCATCATGTGGCTCTCGCCTTAGCGCCGCGCGCGTAGGGTTGACGTCCCAGGAATGGTGCTCTGGCACGATTCAGGGTTGGCAGGACACAACAGGCACTTTGATCCGCGAGGCTAGAAGTCCAAGGAACGGAGTTCTGGCACTGTCAGGACGCAAGGTCTTCTGGCACGATGGTTGTCTTTCAATGGGGCACTTCCCGCGATGCACACAAATTATTGCAGGAACCTGTGAGGAAGGAACGTGGAGGGAGGGTTTAGTGAAACATCGTTGATGCGTCTTGCGTTTCCTCCTCCTCCTCCTCCTCCTCCTCCTCCTCCTCCTCCTCCTCCTCCTCCTCCTGTCCTCCTCCCTTCTCCTCCTGTCCTCCTCCCTCCTCCTCATCCTCCGTCCTCCCCCGCCCGTTCCAGGAGATCTTCCCGCTTCCTGCGCACGCCGCCGCTCGGCAACCGTCCCCCGTAGGGGGAGCTCCCGCCCTTTTCCCCCCCCCCCCCCCCTCCTTGCCCCTCCCCCCTCCTCCCCCTCCTTGCCCCTCCCCCCTCCCCCCCCCCCCCCCCCCCCCCCTGCCCCCCCCCTCCCCCCCTCCCCGCCCACTCACTCCTCCCACCGCACGGCGGCTGCACATCACCCCCCGCGTCAGACCACGAGGGTTGAACCCCCGCTCGCCCGAGATATGGCCCCAGAACTGCTGGCGCAGGGGCCCACCCCCGGGCACGCGCTACAGTAGGAGCTCGACCACAAGTAACCTTCCACAAGAAACCCAACCCTGAGACCCCTGGACGTCCATTGATTTGCGTGGGAATGTCACGCTTTCCATAGCAAAACCATCGAAACCCAGGGCACCCTGGAGTCAAGCAGGGTGTTTCTTGGCATGGGTTTCCACTGTAACATGGACCAGGGATCCACAGATCGGGGAGCGTAGCCCTCGAAACATGGCGCCAGTGCCGCCTGAGTTGGCGACGAGGCGCGCCGCTTTGGCATGGAAAGGGAGCCCTTCGCCAACCCGCGCGCCTTCATCCATGTCTGCGTTTTTTTCTCGGCCCCTGACATCCGCCGACATGATTGTTTTCCTGTCCGCGGCCCCAGAGGTCGCGACCCCTTCCCTGAGGGTAGGCGTCCATCCCAGATTATTGTTGATCGCGCTGGGGCCAAATAACGTGCCCTGGAGCCCGAGATCGAGGAAAAACGCCAAAATTGAACAAATCATATCGTCGGAGATCTGGGATCCATGCTCGCGCGGCCTCGACAACCGTGCGATAGGACTCTGGTAGCGACGCCGCAGGATCCTGTGCGGGGGTGGGCTAAATAGCAGGCCCCCATCGGCGATCAATGGGCGATTGGGGGCCGATGCGTCCACCCCTGAGCCCAGTCCCCCCAAAACGTTGCCCCCCAGTCGGGGACGCACTGACCCAGGTCAATGCAAACCCAGGTCAGTCAGGCTCTGCAGAATCCTGCAAGCTCCTGCAGGATCCTGAAGCATCCTGCACCCAAACCCAGGTCACCGCACCCCTGGCTCCGCAGGATTCTGCAAGATCCAGCACTCTGACTGACCCCGTTTGCGTTGACACCCGTCACTTGAGCCCCGACCTAGATCCAACGACCATCCTCCCGGGGGACGCCTGGATGTGCTCCGCCTCCATCAGGTCGCCCATCCCGGCGTGGCCCGCGCCGGGGCCGGAGGGGCATGGGGCCCCGGCGACGACTCGGGGGTTGCCAGAAGTGCCCATGGCCCAAGGTGCCCCCAGCATTTCGCTCCACTTTAGAGCCCCTGGGGCCCTCTGGGCATGGTGAGCAGGTGACCCCAAATTCGAATCGATAAGTCGCATCGGCGATCGAAATGAATCGGGTCGGCGGAAATCGACAGCCCAAGTCGGGAGGAGCCGCATCGGCGCAAATAGGCAGGCCAGTAAGGCCTCCACTGAGAAATCGGAATCCAGATCGGAATCCCAAGCCGAATCGAATCGGAATCGGAAGCCATCCACATCGAATCGAAACGAACCCGAGGAGTCGCAGCGAGAGCCACGCGGGAGGGCTGCTCTGAGGAGGCCGCGGGGGCCTCCCTGGAGATCCTGGAGGCACCTCGGGCCGTGGACACCTCGGGCAACACCCGCACGGCGGGGCGCCGGCGCCGGCCGGGGGGGGTCGGGGCCCTCCTGCTCAGGGAGGCGGGGCAGAGGTGGGGAGGTGGGACCGGCGCCGGGTGCCGTCTGGGGAGCTGGTGGGGAGATGGGGGGGGCAGAGAGATGGTGAGATGATGGGGATGGGCAGAGAGATGGGGGGGTGGGGATGGGCAGAGATGGAAGATGTCTCGAGCGGGGGCAGGCTGCAGTAGCAACTCGAGGCCTCAGGGTACGCCCTCGAGGCAGAGATGGGGTCGGCCTCGGGGCAGGCCCTGGGAGCCTCTAGGGGCGGGACTGGGGTGGCCTCAGGGGCAAACCCAAGGGGCAGGCCCAGAGGTAGGCCCCCGCGATAATTTCGTCGTGATCTGGGCGTCATTCCTCGATCTCGGCCTCGCTGGGGACCGCTGTCGGGCCCCAGGGAAGATCGAATATGGATCGGGGGGGAGAAGCTTCCCCCGGCGGGAAGGGTCGGGACCCGTGGGAGCGCGCATACGGGGGAGGCCCGGCTTTTGACCCCCAAGACCCCCGCCTCCTCGAGGCCCCGGGACTGTGGAGTCCCTCGTTGTTCCAGAGGGTTGTTTTACGAGCTTGCAGCCTTCTTTTCATCATTATCCTTATCTGATCTCTCTCTATCTCTATACATGTACATATGCACGAATGCATGCACTCCTTCCTTAAGCTGTACCGTTATTCTGACAGCCTCTTCAAACAAAAAAAATGCCGATGCGATACCAATCCATGGCCAACCAAAACCAATGCAATGCCAATTGGGGGTTCTTTTCTTACAGTGGATTTCGAACCCTTCCTCGGAGGATTTCGATTGGAATGCTTCTGTGGAGGGTTTCGACGGGAATCCTCCTTTGGAAGATTTCACTCGGAATCCTTCTTCTGGGGGTTTCACTAGGAACCCTTCTTGTGGAGGGTTTCAATCGGAATCCTTCTGCGGAGCGAGCCATGAGGACTCGCCAGCACAATCCCAGCGCAATCCTACAGCAACGCCAACGCAACGCCAAACCAATGCCAAGGCGACCCCAATCCGATGCCAATGCAATGCGAATGGGGGCAATCCTGTGTGGTAGACTTCAATAGGAATCCTTCTGGGGGTTGCAGTAGGAATCCTTCTGCGAAGGGAGGCATTGGAACTCGCCAGCGCAATGCCAGCGCAATGCCAATGCGATCTCAAATCCGATGCCAAGGCAATGTCGTTGGGGGCAATCCTTTGCTGTAGATTTCAAAAAGGAATCTTTTTTGTTGAGGGTTTCGGTCAGAATCCTTCTGCGAAGGGAGGCATTGGGACTCGCCAGCGCAATGCTACAGCGCTACAGTTGTGCCAACGCAATGCCAAACCAATGCCAAGGCGACCCCAATCCAATGCCAATGCAATGCGAATGGGGGCAACCCTGTGTAGATTTCAATAAGAGTACTGCTGGGGGTTGCACTGAATCCTTCTGCGAAGTGAGGCATGGGAGCTTGCCAGCGCAATGCCAGCGCAATGCCAAAGCAGTGCCAACACAATGCCAGCGCAATGCCAATGCGATCTCAAATTCGATGCCAAGGCAATGTCGTTGGGGGGCTTCGATCAGAATCCTTCTGCGAAGGGAGGCATTCGGACTCGCCAGCGCAATGCTACAGCAGTGCCAACGCAATGCCAAACCAATGCCAAGGCGACCCCAATCCAATGCCAATGGGGGCGATCCTTTGTGGTGGATGTCAATAGGAATCCGTGTTGGGGAGGGTTGCAATCGGAATCCTTCTGCGCAAGGGAGGCATTGGAACTTGCCAGCGCAATGCCAGCGCAATGCTCAAACCGTGTCATCGCAATGCAAAATCAATGCCAAGGCGACCCGAATCCGATGCCAATGCAATGTCGTTAGGGGCAATCCTGTGTAGTGGATTGCAATGAGAATCCTTCTTCTGGGGGTTGCAGTAGAAATCCTTCTGGAAGGGAGACATGTGGGACTCGCCAGCGCAATGCCAGCGCACTTCCAACGCAATGCCAATACAATGTTTAACCAATGCCAGTTGGGGGCGTCGTCTCTTGGTGCATTCCAATGGGATTCCTTCTGGGATGATGTCATTGCAAACCCATGTTCGGAGGATTTCAATAGGAATCCTTCTGTGAAGGGCTTCGAATGCAATCCTGCTGTGGAGGATCTCACTTTGAATCCCTCTTGTGTGTGCGCGGGGGGTGTCACTAAGCATCCTTCTTGTTCGGGTGGATGAATAAGAATTTTCCTGTGGAGCGTCCGCTTAGGACTCGCCAGCGCAATGCCAACGCAGTGCCAACGCAATGCCATGGCGATCCCAATCCAATGCCAATGCAATGCCAATGGGGGCAATCCTGTGTGGTAGACTTCAATAGGAATCCTTTTTGTGGAGGGTTTCAATCGGAATCCTTCTGCGAAAGGCATTGGAACTCGCCAGCGCAATGCCAGAGCAATGCCAAAGCAGTGCCAACGCAATGCCAGCGCAATGCCAAGGCGATCCCAACCCAATGCCAATGCAATGCCAATTGGGAAAATCCGTTGTGGCAGATTTCAATAGGAGTCCTTCAGTGGAGGGCTTCGCATGGAATCTTTCTGTGGAGGATTTCAAGATGAACCCTTTTTGTGGATGGTTTCAATAGGAGTCCTTCTGGTAGGGGGCTTCAATAGGAGTCCTTCTGTGGAGGGTTCCATCAGGATTCCTCAACGCAATGGTTGCGAAGTGCCAGCGCAATGCCAACGCACTGCAAAGCACCATTCCAGCGCAATGCCAAACCATTGCCAAACCGATGCCAGTGCAATGCCAACGGGGGGATTCTTTCTTTCGAAGCATCTCAATGCCAATCCTTCTAAATGTTATTCCAACATGAACCAACATGTGGAGAATTTCAATAACAATCCTTTGTGGAGGGTTTCGATCGGAATCCTCATGTGGAGGATTTCACTAAGAACCCTTCTTGTGGGGGCTTTCAATCGGAATCCTTCCAGAGGTGAAGGCAAATGATGCCACGTCGGATTCTTGTTTTTTCGCACCCGGTCCCCCCCGAGAAACAAACATATATACATATATATATATATATACTAACAAACAACAATCGGTGTCGAATGTTTTTTTGTTGGGGGGGCAGGCGAAGGAAAAGCATCTGGGGCCTCCCTCTCCTCCTCTACCTCCTCCTCCTCCTCCCGTGTTTCCTCCTTCCCCCAAATCGGATGTGTTCTCCTCCTAGAAACTAACAAAACGGGAGGCGGCATCCCTTTTGTTTCCCCCTTTTTTGGGGGGGTGATGCAGGAGAAGCAAAAAGCTCGATTATGGAGGAGAGAGGAGGAGGAGGGCGGGGGAGAGAAGAATGAGGAGAGCGGAGCAACGCGGAGCAGAGTGAGGAATCCCTCCCACCCACACCCCCACCCACCCCAAAACAACAACAACAACAACAACAACAACAACAACAACAACAACAACAACAACAACAACAACAACAACAACAACCACAACCACAACCACAACCACAACCACAACAACAACAACAATAACAACAACCACCACAACAACAACCACAACAACAACAACCACAACAACAACCACAACCACAACCACAACCACAACCACAACAACAACAATAACAACAACAACAACAAAAACAAAAAAAACAACAAAAAAAAACAAAAAAAAAAAAAAAAAAAAAAAAAAAAAAAAAAAAAAAAAAAAAAATGCCGCTCCGCGTTGTTTTTTTGTTCTTTCCTCTTTTTTCGGGGGGGGGTGCAGGAGAAGCAAAACGCCCGATTCTGGGGGAAGGAGGAGGAGGAGGAAGAGGACGAGGAGGAAGAGGAGGTGTAGGAGAATAGGGAGACAGAGGAGGAGAGGACGGAGAAGGGGAAAACATCCTCCGAAAGGCGAGGGACTCCACAATCCCCCGTTCTCGCCTCCTCCCCCCCCCTCGAAGAGAAGAGATGACGGCCGAGGGTTCTGAGTCGCGTTCAGTCTCGGGCCGTCTAAACACGGTTCGGGGTGAAAAAGCCGACCCTGCAAGTCTCTGAGACATCATAATTGGCTCCCTCCTCGCCCGATCCGTCCGCCATCAGCCATCCCTGGGCTCAGGCTGCCCAAGGCTCGCGAGAGAGACCGGGGAGAAGTACGGCTCAGGGCGTGCCGGGTACGGGAGCTCGAGCGGGAGGGGAAAGACGAGGGCGGCCGCGGAAGAGGAGGAGGGAAGGGCCCAACCGCCGAGGAGGACCGTCAAAACACGCCTAGGGATGAACATCAAGCCCTGGGGGGGATAGGTCCACACCCCGTGCAGGCAGGGCGCGCGGGGCCCGGGCCTCGGAGCGAGAGCAAGCAGCAGAGGTGGGGCTGGGGCGTTGCTCTGGGCGACAAATGAGGGTGCGAAGAAACCAGGGGGATGATGATAATGATGATGATGATGATGATGATGATGATGATGATGATGATGATGATGATGATGATGATGATGCTGATGATGATGATGCTGATGCTGATGCTGATGCTGATGCTGATGATGATGATGATGATGATGATGATGATGATGATGATGCTGC